CTATAATTTATCCTTTCAGTAAGATCACACTTTCTTCTTATTGACAACGGGTAATTTGATTTTTCACTATTATAGTCCTTTATACTACAATATCATTGGTAAAGTTAAATTGATACAAATAACAGATCAAAATTATACAATTCGGAAAAGTCCTGAAATTCCTGAAGAATATCTGCCTAATAAATAATTAATCAATGTGAGTCATAAAGTGAGTTTCCAAGTTATCCCGAAATCTCCGTTGATCTCCTATCATCCGATCTAATCTTCTTTCCGTTTCTTTTTTCCTTATCACATGAAAGGTTTCATTTAACTTTCATAAATGCGTCAATAATCATTTTGCCACATTTGATATGATCATTTCAGAGAGAAATGTTTCTTTGTTTTATGGATTCCGGAAAGATTCCTATCAGACATCCTTCTTCCCCGTATAAAAGAAGATTTCTCTTCGAATTTCGCTTCATTAAATTTCAATTAAATTTATAAAAACTTTTCCTGCATTGTAATTGTTCACATAGATTTGCCATATTCTAATTATTTGTTAAATAATTAAATCATTTAAATAAGTTGAAAATTCCTTCCACATATGATTTTTTTTGAAGAATAATTTTCTGAAAGAATTAAAAATTGACCAATTGAAAAAAAAAAAAAAGAAATTTTCAGATTGTCAACACCAATGCATCTTTTCACTTCTTTATTACTGATTTTCTGCGCTATTTTCATGATTCAAGTAAGTTTTGTAATGTTTTTAATAAAAGGTTATATTTTAACGCAAATTGCTATTTATCGAATTTTGTTTCAGGCGTGCGGTCCATCACCGACCCCGGGGACGGGAGCGGTGGGATCACTGATAGGAGAGCAAGGAGAAGATGGAATTGATGGAAGTCCAGGAGACCCAGGACCTAAAGGTGATCCTGGTCCGAAAGGAAATCGCGGGATGCAGGGGCCGCGAGGGCAAGCGGGTCCTCCAGGTTCAAAAGGAATTGTGGGACCGCCAGGAATGAAAGGTTCTTTAGGACCACAAGGGGCAGAAGGAGCAGTAGGAGCAGGATAAAGGTAGCAGACCACAAATGACCTGGTAGCTTTCAGTGATAATCTGTTGTATTTTGGTTATTTTTGTTTGCACCATCCTATAGTAAATGTACCCCTCTCATTAACAAAATTCTTAAACCTAAAACTATAATCCGCACCTTAACGGAATTTACTTATTCGAGTTGGAATTTGAAATTGGCATGGAACAAATGCTTTGTAACTTTATCGCTGTCACTGTTTAGTGAAAACTTCCTGAAATTTGGTCAATTTTTAAACTGAGCAAAAGATGAAATAAAATATTTCACTTCCTGCGCTGTACACAGTGCTATTCTAGTAAAGTAGAAAAATGGAAACATATTGTGAAAATTGCATATTCGGAGGAATCGAAAATTTGGTTAAAATCTCCGTCCCTCAGCGAACGGAAAACTGAGTAAAACAAAAGAAACGTATTCACATTCCCACTTGGAGCATAAATTAAAATACCTACGTCAATTATAGGTAGAAATTAATGAAGTGAAAAGAAAACATAAAATAGTGGACTAAACTGAGAGAATCAGTTCGAAATGGAGAAATATTAAAATTTATATTTGATTGCAGTCTTTCTGACACATTTTCATTCAATAAGAAGAAGCATTGAAAGCCTTATCTGTTTCTAATAAAATGCAAATTATAATACAATCATTTCGTTTGTTTATCAATTTTTGCACAACCAATTGATAATTATAATGTCGTTCGGTTGAATAAATTACAATAATTTACTAAATTCAACATTTTTATTCTCAATTTTAATCGCAAATTAAACTTGCAGTTAATCTTTTGTCGTTCATTCAGTCAGCTCTCTTTCTCGTTTTAATTTATAATTTTCAATTATTATAATTTTGACCAGACCAGTCAATCTGCCAAAAATTGATGGTAAGTTAACCATGGGTCATTAGCTTATGAGTAAGTGACACCTAACCATAATTACTCAATAAGTTTATCCATTAATGGCCACTTCTTTACAAGCAGTGGCCTCAATACCTCCTTCAGCAAATTTCAAATAAGCCTTAAGGCCAATAATATTAATCGCTATTCAGTCCTTCTATAATAATCTTCCGATATTGCAACATCTCATTAATTTGTTTAATTTTTAAGTTTTAGATATTATTGTAAATATTATTACACTATTTTCAATTAATTTCATCATCGATATCATATTTTGGGTTTCTGAATTGTTATTCTGTGGTTATTTCTGAGCTACGTCCGACCTTGAATCAATTCTAGATCACTTTGAATACTTGCCGATATTATTTCTGCATTGAAATGAAAGGAAAAGCAAAACACTTAATACATTGATAGTTGCAAAACAGCTTTGCTTGCAACTTAAAAGTGTTCAAAGTATCAGCTATTGAACGCGTTAAAGTAAATTTTTGAAGTGTTTTTGTTTTTGATTTGCTTGAAGAAACAGTTTATAAGATTGATTCATGGAATTTCATTGAAGTTGATAAGTTATGATTGAATAAACCATTTGATGCATAAAATGTAAAACCTCCATAAGCAAATTCCTTACGGTACTGATTAATATTTCAGGTTAACCGATTTCATAGCACAATGAAAACACACCGCCGATAGATTGATGCAAAAAAAAAAACAGAAAAAAACCAAAAAAGAAAACATATATATTATGAATGGATGATAAAATTGTTTGACTGTCTATGACAAATTCCATATTTTATTGCTAAAAGTTAGTTGTGCTTTCCCTTCGGTTCTTCGAAACTTTGTTCCCCTTGCGGTAGCACATTGATTTTCATTTCATCTTGGCTCTTTAACAGGTCCCGGTATTCCTCAAGACCTTCGTATTATTCTTGGCCCAGGCTATTCTTCTTTCCTATCAATTCCATTTTCTCCTGGTGTCTTTACTCGAATGTTTTTTCATTTAAGATAAATTGCACATCTGAAGAAATTTACATATGCTTTATGCTTTACATATGGTAGTTTGATATTTTCTTAAAATATAACTTTTCGTTTAGAAATGATTTATAATTAGGTAATTTTGGATTAACTATCTAGTTGGATCGCAAAAAGAGAGCTGAAAATCAACAAGAATGTCCTATAAAATTGTACCTCTACTGAAAAGATAATCAATCTAAAATTAACTGCTTTCATAAATGAAATTTTTTAGGATTTTTTTTAGGAAAAAAGAAATTCTCCAAAAATTTCTTTAATACTTCGCAAAATACAAAAAGGAGAAAATGCCGAAGAAACCATTCGGTTTAGAAAATTACTTTGTAATAAAAATGTTACACAAATTATTATCATTATTTACAGCATTTAATTAATAATAGCAAATCATATTTGATAGATCAGAATTGAAAAATTCCGCTTGGAAAGTTTATTTGAATGTAAGCAGCAAACTGTGATCAACTGATCGGATTATAGATATTCTAGCCAGAATCTGGTATGTAAGAAAAGATTTCATGAATCAAATTGAAATTTAATGAAGTAAAAATTCGGAGAAAAATCTTCCTTTATGCTAGGAAGAAGGATGGCTGATATGAATCCTTCCGGAATTCATATAACAAAGAAACATTTCATTGTGAGATGATTATATTAGATGTGAAAAATGCGATTATTGACTTATCTATGAAAGTTAAACGGAAAATTTTATGTGATAAAGAGAAAACAAACGGAAGGTTAATATGACAAATATGATAGGAGACTAACGTTTATTGAGGTTCTGGGATGATTTGGAAATCAGACTGATTTTGATTAGTAATAAATTAGTTTCAACTCTAACTCTCTGATCTGGATACTTTTATCGAAAGCTGAACTTTGCAGAACGATTACTGCAGTGTGAAGGACCATAATATTGAAAAATCAAATTATCCTTTGTCGGTTAGAAGGAAGTGCGATCCTGCTAGAAGGTCAAATCATAACAGATGGTAAAATTAGATGTATTAAGTAATGAAATTAATTTTAATGATGGCCGATATAGGACAATATCTAACATTTTAATATAGTACAGAAAATTTTTCAGTAACAGAAATTATCAAAAACAGTCTTCTCAGTAATGTTAATTTTCTTTTTCAATTTAGGTTCATTTCAAAAATTCGGAGGTTCTAGGTATCTTCGATTTGCTGGTTTTTGTTCAGTATTGAAAAAATTTTTGCATGATAACCTTCTTCGCAATGCACTATTCCGCCTAGCCAGAAAATTGAACATGAACTTTAATTGAAGTGCCACAATGAATAGAGATTAAAGTTTGGACAATTCAAGGAATTTCAGAAATTCCTGAAGGATAATTAACCAGCATATAGTTAGCATTGGCTAATCCGAAATCACTTCTCTTTCTTGAAGGCTCAAAATCTGCTTTCTCACCAAACTCTCGGATTTTCTATAAACTATCTTTGGGTAACCTCTACCATTTGATGTAATCTTTCTTTTGCTTCGTTTTTCTTTATTATATAAAAACTTCCGTCTAACTCACAAATACGTTAAATGTTACATTTTGCTGCCTTCGATATGATCTTTTCATTTCACAAAGAAATGTTTCTTTGTGAAATGAATTCCGGAAAGATTCTTATCAGACATCCTTCTTCCTAGTATAAATAAGGCATCTCTCTTTGAATTTTGCTCCATTAAATTTCAGGTTGTATCTTAAAATCTTTTCTCAGATATTGCAATTTTTCAGCAAGAATCTTTAAATTTTTTAATTAATGCGACATTTCCAAAAATATTACAAATTTTTATTTTGAGTTTTTTGATCCAAAATATTACAAAAATTTTTTATTTTGAGTTTTAATTAGTCAGTGGAAGCTTTTATCCTCGCAATATTTCTATCGCAGAATATTTTGAAGAAATCTAAACACTTCATTTCGCATTCCACTGTGTTCCTCTTATTACAGATTTGAAAGAATCAAAAATTTATGAATGAGAAAAATTTTAAATTTTCATCTGTTTTTCATATAATCATTTCCAGGTTATCAGTACTAATGCATCTTTTCGGTACTTTCCTATTAATTATCTGCGCTGCTTTTGTGATTCAAGTAAGCTTTCTCAATAGACTGTCTCTTAGTGCAAAAAGACACATTTAAAGACTGCATTAAAAAAGGATGTAAATTTTATTTTTAGGCCTGTATCCCATCGCAAGGACAGCAAGGACAGCAAGGACCGAAAGGACGAGATGGAAATAAGGGACCAAAAGGACCGAAAGGACCACGAGGAGCTGAAGGACCAAATGGAGCGAAAGGCTTGCGTGGAGATCCCGGAGTTCAAGGTCGACCAGGAATGGAAGGTGAGGAAGGACCAACAGGCCCACCCGGTGATCAAGGACCACAAGGTCAGAGGGGACTAGATGCAACATGAAAGGATTTAGCTATGACAATAAAGCTATCTCTCACAGTGATATCTGTTCTCTTATTTTGGTTGTTTTTGTTTGCACCAATATATCGTCAATATATTCTTCCCATTATGCCACTAAATTGCTAGTTTCTAATCACCTCATTCATTCATGCCATAACGGAAACTGCTTATGAAGATTTGAACTTGATATTTAAATTTTGAAAAACAAATGCTTTATTATATTCCCTACCATTGTAAAGAAATAAAAAAACTTTCTGAAACGATTTTGAAATTTAACGAAGAAGAAAACAACATATTTCCGCCTCACCGATAAGCAACAGTGGCAAGTAACAGAGGATGAACGTATAAGAAACTTTTGAAGTATCAATTCTAATTAAAAGAGGTTAAACGATTTTTACTTTACTGTATCCTAGTTTCACTCATTTTCATACTTCGTCATTAAACTTTAATTGACCATTACAGTCATTCATTATATTCTAAATAATCTTTTCATTATCACTGCTCATCATTTCCTGCTTAAAATCACAGTAATCTTTATCTCTTAATCTATCGATGCATTTTCTACTAATTAACTGTAGTAATTTGATTAACTTTTATTTGAAATTAAAAAAAAAGATTCAACTGTATGCGACAATTCAATAATTATTAAATTATAGTTTAAGAAAAATTTAATTTTCGACAAAGAATTATCTGAGAACAGAAGAAAAAATTATATTTCAAATAAATCTGAAACCGATTATTGGTACAATTGTAATATAAATTTGCTAGATGATCTATTCAACCTCAATTCATTTAAAGTGAAAATTTAAATTTAGCTTGAATAAAATTTGCCTGTCCATAAAAGAATCAATAATCTTATCATTCTTGTAAACAACCAAACAACTATTCAATATTTCACTCTTACATAGTTCATATCATGTTGAATTATTATCGTCAAAATTATTATAGTTTTAACAAACTTCCTTTCTTCTTTATTCAGCAAATCATTTTCGACTTGAACTATGATCTCAATTGCTCCTCAACAAACTTCTTCACTTAAGGCCTTAAGGCCAATAATATCAATTGCTGTTCAGCCCTTCTGCAATAACCTTTTGATGTTGCAACATTAATTTGTTTAATTTTTAAGTTTTAGATATTATTGCAGATATTATTACACTATTTTCAATTAATTTCATCATCGATATCATATTTGGGATTTCTGAATTGTTATTCTGTGGTTATTTCTGAGCTACGTCCGACCTTAAATCAATTCTAGATCACTTTGAATACTTGCCGATATTATTTCTGCATTGAAATGAAAGGAAAAGCAAAACACTTAATACATTGATAGTTGCAAAACAGCTTTGCTTGCAACTTAAAATCATTCGGAACATCAATTGTTACACGCATTTATACGGAAAAGATGGTTAGAATGGATTCATCATTATTTATTATTTACTATTCATTATGAAATGATTATGTCGAACAAAATGCAACGCTATGCGACTTTTGGTGATATTTATAACGGTATATTAATGAAATTCAAATTTTAGATTTCATTGTTCTTAAACAAATTCCACTAAGGCGTAGAATGTGATAAAAGGCCTACGGCAGAGGAATATATTTATGATACGATTGTGCAAGGAAAAACAACCAAAAATACGAGAAAAGATACACTGAGTAATTGTTTTATTATCACCAATAAAATCCATTGTCTCGTGCTTTCATCGTCCAACGGCTCTCCCTGCTGGTCCAGTAACTCCTACAACTCCTCGCTCACCCTGCGGTCCCATTGGTCCTCTCGGTCCAGGCATACCTGGCAATCCTACATCGCCTTCTCTTCCAGGTGGTCCCATCTCTCCTTGAGGTCCTCTCACTCCTTTCACTCCTGGGGGTCCCTTCTCTCCTGCAACTCCTCTCTCTCCCTTAGGTGGACAAGCCTGAAAATAAAATTTTATTTTTGCAGGTCACATTAAATCATTGCGTTTCTAATTCAAGAACAATCCATTACAAAACTTACTTGAATCATGAAAATAGCGCAGAAAATCAGTGATAAAGAAGTGAAAAGATGCATTGGTGTTGACAATCTGAAAATTTCTTTTTTTTTTTTTTTTCAATTGGTCAATTTTTAATTCTTTCAGAAAATTATTCTTCAAAAAAAATCATATGTGGAAGGAATTTTCAACTTATTTAAATGATTTAATTATTTAACAAATAATTAGAATATGGCAAATCTATGTGAACAATTACAATGTGGGAAAAGTTTTTATAAATTTAATTGAAATTTAATGAAGCGAAATTCGAAGAGAAATCTTCTTTTATACGGGGAAGAAGGATGTCTGATAGGAATCTTTCCGGAATCCATAAAACAAAGAAACATTTCTCTCTGAAATGATCATATCAAATGTGGCAAAATGATTATTGACGCATTTATGAAAGTTAAATGAAACCTTTCATGTGATAAGGAAAAAAGAAACGGAAAGAAGATTAGATCGGATGATAGGAGATCAACGGAGATTTCGGGATAACTTGGAAACTCACTTTATGACTCACATTGATTAATTATTTATTAGGCAGATATTCTTCAGGAATTTCAGGACTTTTCCGAATTGTATAATTTTGATCTGTTATTTGTATCAATTTAACTTTACCAATGATATTGTAGTATAAAGGACTATAATAGTGAAAAATCAAATTACCCGTTGTCAATAAGAAGAAAGTGTGATCTTACTGAAAGGATAAATTATAGTGGGTAATGAAATCAGTCTTAGTAATATGGTGCTGACTGATATCAGTACAACATCTGCAGAACATTTTAATAAGGTAAAAAAATTTTTTTCAGGGACGGAAATTGTCAATTGGTCCTCCTTCGTTTCTAATTTGAGCACTTCATGCTTGCAACAGCAAATTTTGCTTGTATTCTTCGCATCATCTCACCAAATCCATAAACCTGATGTGTTGGCCGTTTCCTGAATGGAATTTCAAACGAAAAGATCACTTTGCAAAGTTTTTTTTCATTGGAATTTACTCAAAAATAGAATATTTTGTTATTCATCTGAAATTTAAATTGAAATTCAAATTTTGAAGATTTGAACTTTTACACTAATTGTTTTGCTTGATAAACATTCAGAGTTAAAGCATTAATTAAGCAATAAAGATAAGAGAAAAGAATGTATTAGATTTGAAATTATTAAAGAACTTTATTAAAATTTACTGCTTGTTTGCTTCACTACCAAAGAAATGGCGTATGAATCATTCTCACCAAAACTTTTTTTTGATAACTATCATCTGTAAAGCCATCTTTTATGTATATTTTTGACAATTTCAGTTAAAATTTTAAATTATTCATTTTACTTTTGTCGATTTTCATCTGAAATTTATAATATTTCAAGCTAAATAAAGCGGTAAGCAAGATTTAGCTTATATGAATTAATGATAAATTAAATTTGACTGATGTTGCGATTGTAAATTTGTTATTATAATTTGATATTATAATCATATTTCAATAAGTAAGCAAACGAATTAATTGTATTATAATCTGCATTTTATTAATAATAAATAAGGCCTTCAATGCTTTTCTTATTGGATAGATAAATGAAGAAAATATGTCGGAAGGACAGTAATCAAATACGAACTTTTAATATCTTTGTTTCACTTCAAACTGATTCTTTCATTTTATTTCAGTATTCCATGTTTCTCCTTTTATTTTATTAATTTCTACCTCTAATTACCTATGATTGACATTTGATGCGGAGATGTAAATATATCATTCAGATTCATTCAGCTTTTTATCAATCTGAGAACGGAAATTAGGAAATTAATGAGAATTTTTAACTTAAAATTGAATAATATCTCAAGGCGAAGACTGCTATTTAATAGATAAAACAAGCAATTTTGCTCAGTGAAGGAAGAAAATTATTTTATTTCTTCTTTCATTCAATCACAAAATCAATTAGATTTCATTTTGGTGACATAGCGAGAAGGACACATGCTTTTATTTTCCTGGTGCTGCTGCTCCAGGTGGTCCATTTGGTCCTCGTTCTCCTTGTACACCTTGCGGCCCCATCCGTCCTCGTGGTCCTGGAACACCAGTTGGTCCTGGAGGTCCTGGATCACCCATCTCTCCTGTCCTCCCTCTAGGTCCTTGATCTCCTGGATCTCCCTTATCTCCTTTTTCCCCATCATTTCCGTCTGGCCCTCGTGTTCCTAGTTGTGATGGACAAGCCTGAAAACAAAAGTGGTGCTGTCGCCATAAGTCATTTCCGTCTAATTTAGAACAATCCATCAAGGAACTCACTTGGATCATGAAAACAGCACAGATAATCAATAGGAAAGGACTAATAAGATGCATTGGTACCGATAATCTGAAATGAGGTATTTAGTTTACTTCCAGAGATCATTTTCCAAAAGAAATTACAGCTTTTTTGGAAAAATTGTAAATGACAAGTTTGTAAATTTAAAAAAAAATCTTTCTGAAAAGTTATAACGTTGTTGCGACCTTCTGTTTATTTATAGTCCTATGAGAAAAGGTTTTAATTAGAAAATAAATAGAGTGATTTTTGGTTGAGAAAACATTTATTTATATTGAAAACAAGGATGTCCAATATGATTTTTCCGGAATTCATAAAACAAAGAAACAAGCGATTACTGATGCATTTATCAAACCTTTTCATGTTATGAGGGAAAAGAAAGGAAAGGAAGATTGGATGGAATGATAGAAGATCAACGATTCATCGAAAATCCGAGAAATGGATAGAAAAAACTGGTTTTGGATCTTCGAGAATCAGATTTGCAGGAATCTGACTAATTTTTGAAATCTGATCAGTGACGGTTATTTGGAGGAAAATAATGCTTTAGGAATTTTTAAAAATCCAACATTCTTTTGCTTCGATTTAATTAATTTCAATTGAAGTTTAAATTCAATTTTCTTATTGTGTGAAACATTGCACTGTAATGCAAAAGTAATCGTTTACTCATTTATTTAGCTAAAACAAATAAGCTTCTCATCGTAACTTTTTATAAGAAATTGAATAATTTTTAGATTTTACTTTAATAAGGTCAAAATAAGGGTGCTTATTTCTTTTTAACATTTTAAGTTCTGTGGAAGATTTGATCTGATTGCAACTATGTATCATTGCAGTGATAGCAAAACATTCTTTCAAAATGCAATAATTTGAAACTTTTAAATAAAGTGTAAATAAAATAATCATAGATGATCTCTCATCAAACTTTTGGACCATTAATTTTTTGAAATATTGAGTAATGCCTTGATCATGTGCATGTGTAAATTCGATTTATATCGATTATTTTAATTTTATTCAATTTGATTCTCAATTAATGTTTTAAGTAAGGTTTAGTAATGATTTGAAAATGAGTTTTCAATAGCTACTAAGTAATGTACCAACAATCAATTTAAAAAAAAGAAAACTTCTTGGTTCATAAAATTAATTTTTTTTCTCGCACATCTGATGATGTCATATTTTTTCAATGTCTTCAAAATTTTCTCTATAATTATTCAATTATGATTTTTTTTTGAAAAAAGGGATATTAAGGTTGAAGGTTTTACCTGTATAGAATTCTGTTGGAAATCATCTTCTAAAGAATCTTAAACATTTTTCATTGTTTCTTCCATTTCTCTTGCATCTTACAGAATATGAAGTGACTGAAATTTCCAGAGTTTGAAAAGAAATTTAAAAAATTTCAACCATTTTGTTCATAGTCAATTTCAGATTGCAGTATCAATCTTTGAAACACCAGCGCCAGGACGATAAAAGCATGTGTCCTTCTCGTTATGTCACCAAAATGAAATCTAATTGATTTTGTGATTGAATGAAAGAAGAAATAAAATAATTCTCTTTCTTACTGAGCAGAGCAGTATTACAGTCAGGCAGAAAAATGAATTGGTTGTATTAAATTTTGCATTTTATTAAAAACAAATAAGTTCTTCAATGCATTTCCGTTAGATAGGTATAAAGAAAAGATGCCGGAAAGTCTGTAATCAAATATAAACTTTTAATATTTGTCTTTCACTTCAAACTTACTCTCTCATTTTATTCCACTATTTCATGTCCTCTTTTCACTTCACTATTTTACGTATAATTGACGTAGACTATTTTAATTTACGTTCCACGAGAGAATATAGACAATGTCCTTCTAATGATTATAGTATAGAGAAAATATTTTATTTAATCATTCACTCAGTTTCAATATCGGTGAAGTTGTCAAAATTTTTTATTACATGGTGATGATGGGGGCATAATAAAGCATTTGCTTCATGGAATTTTAATTTTAAACATTAAATGTTTACAATCAAATTCTGGCAATGGTATTGGTCAAATTTGAAGCCTAAAAGTTTCGTAGCGTAATGGGAAGATCACGTATTCTACACGTGGTTGTAAACAAAAACAAGAAAAATAAGCGAACAGGGATTCATAGTTTGCTACTTCATTTCTTGCTAATGTTTCTTTCATACTTTTGTCCCACGTTTTTATAGTCCTTTTACCTGTCGCATTCTCTTCCATTCTTGAATGCCTCCAATCTGAGGTACACCAGTTGCATTTTGCTTTCCTTTTTTGTTTATTATTTATTGCCACTCTGGCTGTCTTAGATTTACCTTCAATTTAACTTACCGTGTTAAATCTGAAGGTCTTGGCTCCTCTACTGCCATCTGCCACAGAGTGTAAATAAAATATAAATGCAGTTAGAAGTATCGTTCAGCTATTTTTCTTTTCATTTAGAAACAATCCACTGAAATTTACTTGAATCAGAGAAAATGGTAAGCATCCAAAAAGAAAGTATTAAAAAGATGCATTGGTACTAACAATCTAAGTTTGTTCAATTTTTTTTCAGCTATTTAACTTTTCGTTCTTTCAAATGATCATTCATCAAAAATGCAAGAAGTATCTGATTCTAACTTATTTATATTCCTTAATCATTTAAAATAAATGATAATTATTTATTAGAGTATAACAATCTAACTTGAACAATAAATAATATGTGAGGTAAAGTTTGTTTTATCCAGAAAGTAAGGATTGCAGGTAAGAATGAAACACAGAAATCTTTTTTTGTCTTAGACGAAGGAATATCTGCAGGAATCTTTCCGGAATTCATAAAATTAAAAAACGTTTCTTTGTAGATTAATCGCGTCGAATGCAGCAAAATGCAACATTAAGCGATTATTGACACATTTAAGAAAGTTAAATGGAACTTTCTACTCAATGTCGGAAGGAATGTTGGATCGAATGGTGGAAGATCAACGATTGATTGAGAATTTGATAGATGGATGGAAGAATAGGTTCTTGAAGCAGAACTGATTTGATGATCTGGAAAATGCCAGCTATATGCCTCCTTCAGGAATTTCTGAAATTCCTCGATTGTCCAAATTTTAATCTGTAATCATTCTAGCACTTAACTAAAATTCGTGTTCAATTTTTTGGATATATGGAAGGTGTACTGCAGAGAATGTTATCATAGTTTCTCGAAATTTTTGAAATAAACTTAAATTAAAAAAGAAAATCAACATTACTCAGAAAGATTTCATCTTTGACAGTTCTATCTTTGACAGTTTCTATTACTGAAAAAAACTTTTATATCAAAATGCTTTGTAGACTTTGCATTGACATCGATCATATCATCAAGACTGATTTCATTACCTCCAATTGACCTTATAATTTGACCTTCTAGCAGGATCACACTTCCTTGTAATCGACAAAAGATAATTCAGTTTTTACTATTATGGTTGAACTTTTGATGAAAGTAAACAGATTAGAGCTGAATAATTTGAAGATTTCAGAAACTCCCCAAGAACTTCAAATCTATAAGTAATTATATTCCGTCTGATTTCCAAATCACTTCTGTTTCTCAAATGCTCAAAACCTGCTTTTCATTCTTCTCCTGGATTCATTGTCAATGAGTTATCTTTTATCACTCGATCTAATCTTCTCTCCTTTTCTTTTCTCTTTATCACATAAAAATTTCGTTTAACTTTCACAGGTACGGCAATAATCACCTAATGTTTCATTTTCAGCATCTGATATAATCATCATACAAAGAAATGTTTCTTTGTGAAATGAATTCCGGAAAGATTCCTATCAGTCATCCTTCTTCTCAGTATAAATAAAGGATTTCTCTTTAAATTTTACTCTATTAAATTTCAATTTGAATTAAAATCTTTTTTGTCTTTTTAATCTTTCAGGTAGTTCTGGCTATCATTTATTTAAATAGCTAAGTAAAAGTAATTTAAATAATTAAGGAATGTAATAATGAAGAATGTGAGATTTTTTTCTCGAATAATCTTTTTTTGAAAGAGCTAAAAGTTAGGTAATTGAAAAGAAATTCTAGAAATTTTCAGATTGTCAACATCAATGCATCTTATAAATTCTTTCTTATTGATTATCTGTGCTGCTTTTATGGCTCAAGTAAGTTCCCACAGTGGATTGATTGTTTTTAAGTCAAAAAATTATGCTTGAAGCTATGCTTCTAATTATTTGCTAATTTTATTTTTAGGCTTGCGGTCCATCATTAATGGGTGCACAGCAAGGACCGCCAGGAAGGGATGGACGAGATGGACTTGTGGGTGATCCAGGAGATGAGGGACCCGTTGGTTTACCAGGAGATACTGGAATGCCAGGAAGACAAGGCCAAGAGGGTAATCCAGGCCCAACAGGGCCTCCAGGATTTGAGGGACCAAAAGGTTTACCAGGACTTGTTGGAGTAACTGGGGCACCTGGAGGAAGATAAAAGCAACAAGAAATGGAATTTGTGGATGTCAACAAAACGATCCCTCTCAATGATATCTTTTCTCTTATTTTGATTATTTATGTTTATTTTGTACCAACGTATATCGTAAATGTGTCCTTCTTACGATGTCAAAAAAATCATAGGTTTGAAGTTGTAGTCGATGCGCTAACGAAAATTGCTTACAAACTTTGATTATCGAAATTTGAACTCTATAAAGCAAATGCTTTGTTATATTTTTGAATTACGTCCTTTTTATTGCGAAGATTTTCAACTATTATTAATAATATTTTATGAATTAAAATTTTAATTTATATTCCAAATTCAAATTTAGTGAAGGTTTTCAAACGCTAAATGTGCTTTATGTGAATCTTAAATATTTTCATTTTGTACAAATAAAGTTTTTCCCTATTAATAATCAAAATTAATTACAAATGTACAAACCAATCCGAAATGGACACGAAAATTAATGCCGAAATGTACAAAGCAGTTGAAAAATCGACCTATGATCAGGAACAGCTAATGTGAACCAGTGCTATCACAACCTTAGGAACTCAAATATAAGATTGATGGTGAAATTAATTAAACCGAATGGTTTCTTCGGCATTTTCTCCCTTTTGTATTTTGCGAAGTATTAAAGAAATTTATGGAGAATTTCTTTTTTCCTAAAAAAAATCCTAAAAAATTTCATTTATGAAAGCAGTTAATTTTAGATTGATTATCTTTTCAGTAGAGGTACAATTTTATAGGACATTCTTGTTGATTTTCAGCTCTCTTTTTGCGATCCAACTAGATAGTTAATCCAAAATTACCTAATTATAAATCATTTCTAAACGAAAAGTTATATTTTAAGAAAATATCAAACTACCATATGTAAAGCATAAAGCATATGTAAATTTCTTCAGATGTGCAATTTATCTTAAATGAAAAAACATTCGAGTAAAGACACCAGGAGAAAATGGAATTGATAGGAAAGAAGAATAGCCTGGGCCAAGAATAATACGAAGGTCTTGAGGAATACCGGGACCTGTTAAAGAGCCAAGATGAAATGAAAATCAATGTGCTACCGCAAGGGGAACAAAGTTTCGAAGAACCGAAGGGAAAGCACAACTAACTTTTAGCAATAAAATATGGAATTTGTCATAGACAGTCAAACAATTTTATCATCCATTCATAATATATATGTTTTCTTTTTTGGTTTTTTTCTGTTTTTTTTTGCATCAATCTATCGGCGGTGTGTTTTCATTGTGCTATGAAATCGGTTAACCTGAAATATTAATCAGTACCGTAAGGAATTTGCTTATGGAGGTTTTACATTTTATGCATCAAATGGTTTATTCAATCATAACTTATCAACTTCAATGAAATTCCATGAATCAATCTTATAAACTGTTTCTTCAAGCAAATCAAAAACAAAAACACTTCAAAAATTTACTTTAACGCGTTCAATAGCTGATACTTTGAACACTTTTAAGTTGCAAGCAAAGCTGTTTTGCAACTATCAATGTATTAAGTGTTTTGCTTTTCCTTTCATTTCAATGCAGAAATAATATCGGCAAGTATTCAAAGTGATCTAGAATTGATTCAAGGTCGGACGTAGCTCAGAAATAACCACAGAATAACAATTCAGAAACCCAAAATATGATATCGATGATGAAATTAATTGAAAATAGTGTAATAATATTTACAATAATATCTAAAACTTAAAAATTAAACAAATTAATGAGATGTTGCAATATCGGAAGATTATTATAGAAGGACTGAATAGCGATTAATATTATTGGCCTTAAGGCTTATTTGAAATTTGCTGAAGGAGGTATTGAGGCCACTGCTTGTAAAGAAGTGGCCATTAATGGATAAACTTATTGAGTAATTATGGTTAGGTGTCACTTACTCATAAGCTAATGACCCATGGTTAACTTACCATCAATTTTTGGCAGATTGACTGGTCTGGTCAAAATTATAATAATTGAAAATTATAAATTAAAACGAGAAAGAGAGCTGACTGAATGAACGACAAAAGATTAACTGCAAGTTTAATTTGCGATTAAAATTGAGAATAAAAATGTTGAATTTAGTAAATTATTGTAATTTATTCAACCGAACGACATTATAATTATCAATTGGTTGTGCAAAAATTGATAAACAAACGAAATGATTGTATTATAATTTGCATTTTATTAGAAACAGATAAGGCTTTCAATGCTTCTTCTTATTGAATGAAAATGTGTCAGAAAGACTGCAATCAAATATAAATTTTAATATTTCTCCATTTCGAACTGATTCTCTCAGTTTAGTCCACTATTTTATGTTTTCTTTTCACTTCATTAATTTCTACCTATAATTGACGTAGGTATTTTAATTTATGCTCCAAGTGGGAATGTGAATACGTTTCTTTTGTTTTACTCAGTTTTCCGTTCGCTGAGGGACGGAGATTTTAACCAAATTTTCGATTCCTCCGAATATGCAATTTTCACAATATGTTTCCATTTTTCTACTTTACTAGAATAGCACTGTGTACAGCGCAGGAAGTGAAATATTTTATTTCATCTTTTGCTCAGTTTAAAAATTGACCAAATTTCAGGAAGTTTTTACTAATTAACAATGACAGTGATAAAGTTAAAAAGCATCTGTTCCATGATATCTCAATTTCAAATTCCATAAGGCATCGATAGTGATTTTTGACTTAAGAATTTCGCGACATAGTAGAAAAAGCACAGTTACCATATGATGACGCAAAGAAAAACGCATAAAATTAGAGAAAAAACATACGTGAGGATGATTTTTTTGTTATCACTAACAAATTCTATATTTCTGCTCTATCCGTTATTATTCATTCCTCTCAGACCTAGCGGTCCTTGGTCACCAACTTCTCCTTGCGGTCCTCTATCACCTTCCTCTCCTGGCTGACCAATATGCCCAGGTAATCCTTGCGGACCTTCATCTCCAGGTTCTCCTTGATCTCCCTCAGGTCCTGGTTCTCCTCTAGGTCCATCGCGTCCAGGTCGTCCTTGTGGTCCTGCTGTTGGGTTGCAAGCCTAAAAATAAAAAATTATGCCTACCTAATGCTGTTCCGGTTTGTTCTAATATTTCGGTTTCTTATTTGTGATCAATGTTAAGTTAAGGAACTTACTTGAACTACGAATACAGCTACGGCAATGAAGAGGATAATACTGCAAGGATGCATTAGCACCACGACCTGAAATTGGCTTGATTGAAGTTTTTAAATTTCCTTTCAAGTTTTGAAAATTTCAATCACTTCATTTTCTGTAAGATGCAGGAGAATAAAACGAAACAAAGGAAAATATTTGTGATCCTATAGAAAAAAATTTCAACAAAATTCTGCACAGATGGAATCTTAACTTTTTCATACTCTTTTTTTAAGAAAAATACAATTCAATATAGCCGAAAAGCCTGAAGTCAGAACTTATAATATTTTTAGAAATGTGAAAAAACAAGAAAAAACTATTGATTTGGATATAATGATTCTTGCCGAAAAATTGAAATTTAATAAAACAAAATCCTTTATTTATACTGAGAAGAAGGATGACTGATAGGAATCTTTCCGGAATTCATTTCACAAAGAAACATTTATTAGTGTGATGATTATATGAGATGCTGAAAATGAAACATTAGGCGATTATTGCCGTACCTGTGAAAGTTAAACGGAATTTTTATGTGATAAAGAGAAAAGAAAAGGAGAGAAGATTAGATCGAGTGATAAAAGATAACTCATTGACAATGAATCCAGGAGAAGAATGAAAAGCAGGTTTTGAGCATTTGAGAAACAGAAGTGATTTGGAAATCAGACGGAATATAATTACTTATAGATTTGAAGTTCTTGGGGAGTTTCTGAAATCTTCGAATTATTCAGCTCTAATCTGTTTACTTTCATCAAAAGTTCAACCATAATAGTAAAAACTGAATTATCTTTTGTCGATTACAAGGAAGTGTGATCCTGCTAGAAGGTCAAATTATAAGGTCAATTGGAGGTAATGAAATCAGTCTTGGTGATATGATCGATGTCAATGCAAAATCTACAAAGCACTTTGATATAAAAGTTTTTTCATATCAATAATAAAAAAAAGTTTTTTTCAGTAATAGAAACTGTCAAAGATAGAACTGTCAAAGATGAAATCTTTCTGAGTAATGTTGGTTTTCTTTTTTAATTTAAGTTTATTTCAAAAATTTCGAGAAACTATGATAACATTCTCTGCAGTACACCTTCCATGTATCCAAAAAATTAAACACGAATTTTAGTTAAGTGCTACAATGATTATAGATTAAAATTTGGACAACTCGAGGAATTTCAGAAATTCCTGAAGGAGGCATATAGCTGGCATTTTCCAGATCATCAAATCAGTTCTGGTTCAAGAACCTATTCCTCCATCCATCTATCAAATTCTCAATCAATCGTTGATCTTCCACCATTCGATCCAACATTCCTTCCGACATTGAGTAGAAAGTTCCATTTAACTTTCTTAAATGTGTCAATAATCGCTTAATGTTGCATTTTGCTGCATTCGATGCGATTAATCTACAAAGAAACGTTTTTTAATTTTATGAATTCCGGAAAGATTCCTGCAGATATTCCTTCGTCTAAGACAAAAAAAGATTTCTGTGTTTCATTCTTACCTGCAATCCTTACTTTCTGGATAAAACAAACTTTACCTCACATATTATTTATTGTTCAAGTTAGATTGTTATACTCTAATAAATAATTATCATTTATTTTAAATGATTAAGGAATATAAATAAGTTAGAATCAGATACTTCTTGCATTTTTGATGAATGATCATTTGAAAGAACGAAAAGTTAAATAGCTGAAAAAAAAATTGAACAAACTTAGATTGTCAGTACCAATGCATCTTTTTAATACTTTCTTTTTGGATGCTTACCATTTTCTCTGATTCAAGTAAGTTTCAGTGGATTGTTTCTAAATGAAAAGAAAAATAGCTGAACGATACTTCTAACTGCATTTATATTTTATTTACACTCTGTGGCAGATGGCAGTAGAGGAGCCAAGACCTTCAGATTTAACACGGTAAGTTAAATTGAAGGTAAATCTAAGACAGCCAGAGTGGCAATAAATAATAAACAAAAAAGGAAAGCAAAATGCAACTGGTGTACCTCAGATTGGAGGCATTCAAGAATGGAAGAGAATGCGACAGGTAAAAGGACTATAAAAACGTGGGACAAAAGTATGAAAGAAACATTAGCAAGAAATGAAGTAGCAAACTATGAATCCCTGTTCGCTTATTTTTCTGCTTATTTTTGTTTACAACCACGTGTAGAATACGTGATCTTCCCATTACGCTACGAAACTTTTAGGCTTCAAATTTGACCAATACCATTGCCAGAATTTGATTGTAAACATTTAATGTTTAAAATTTAAATTCCATGAAGCAAATGCTTTATTATGCCCCCATCATCACCATGTAATAAAAAATTTTGACAACTTCACCGATATTGAAACTGAGTGGATGATTAAATAAAATATTTTCTCTATACTATAATAATTAGAAGGACATTGTCTATATTCTCTCGTGGAACGTAAATTAAAATAGTCTATGTCAATTATACGTAAAATAATGAAGTGAAAAGAGGACATGAAATAGTGGAATAAAATGAGAGAGTAAGTTTGAAGTGAAAGACAAATATTAAAAGTTTATATTTGATTACAGACTTTCCGGCATCTTTTCTTTATACCTATCTAACGGAAATGCATTGAAGAACTTATTTGTTTTTAATAAAATGCAAAATTTAATACAACCAATTCATTTTTCTGCCTGACTGTAATACTGCTCTGCTCAGTAAGAAAGAGAATTATTTTATTTCTTCTTTCATTCAATCACAAAATCAATTAGATTTCATTTTGGTGACATAACGAGAAGGACACATGCTTTTATTTTCCTGCTCCAGCTGGTCCAACTGGTCCTCGTTCTCCTTGTTCACCTTGTGGTCCCATCCGTCTTCGTGGTCCTGGAACACCAATTGGTCCTGGAGGTCCTGAATCATTCACTTTTTTATTGTCCTTCATTTCATTTTTGCAAAGGTAATGACGGCTAGTTACTTATGCATCTCTTTATGTTGACCGATGTAGTAAAAACTGGAATAATTGAAAAAAAAAAGAATAATCATAGCGAAAATTTTGAAGAGAGAATTGGAAAAAAAATGACATCGGTTGTGCGAGAAAAGGTTTTAATAAAATGCAAATTATAATACAACCAAATTGTTTGCCCGTTCATTAAATATATTAATTATAATATATAACTATAATAGTGCAATTTTGGCCTCAATTCTTTTTCAACAAATTTCTTCCCTTTACTTAAGCCTTAAGGCCGATAATACTGATCATTACGTAATTTCCTTTTCGTAATGTAACATCCTTGCATATAGCCCATCTTCAACTATTTGCTCATTCGTATTGCATTGTAACGCTATCACAGCAGAATTGAAAAGGAGAGCTACTGGGCCACATCGTTTATAGAAGAAATTTGGCTTAGTCGCGAAACTTAAAATAATAAAATAAATTTATATAAAATTTAATCATTCAAATTGTAAATAATTGTTAACAATGCTATGAATCATTTAAGGAATTTTAGATTCCTCAGCTATTTCATTTCCTTTTGTTATCTTCATCTAACAATCAGACCTTGATCTCCGCTTTGATCTTATTATGATCCTTTTGCAGCATGCATCTATCATGTATGCAAATGAACATCTGGTGTAATGTCTTTTGTAGTGTCTATTCTAAGCCCTGCAATGTCTCTTGCAAGCTGTATATTGTCTATTTAATCCACTGTAAGTCTGTTATAAACCACTCCCAACTCTTGACATATATAAACCTAATAGTAAATCAGGATCTTCATCTTCTTCTTAAGGAAGGACCTCTATTATGATCTTCTTCTACTGAAGGAAGTATCCCTGTCATGATTATTTTCTTCTTCTTGGAGGACAGTTAACTTATGGGAGAAATGGAGGTTTCACTGTTAATCTCTTCTTCGACAAAAATTCAACTACAACTATGTGAGATTATACTTTCTCTGTGTTAGTATTTTTTATCCTAAATTCGTATTGCACTAATAAAGATTTTATAATCTTACTGCGACTTCACACGATGAAGCGTATTCGACACCAACGATTTTGCTTCCACAGACAGAATATCATCATTATTACTACATCTGTTGAAATGCTTATTCTACATTCATGTAAGCCTTTCAATTCCCTGTTTATCCTTGACCATCGACAAATCTCTCTCAAAAAAAATCCATGACAAAGATTGTCATTGAAGAGAGATTGATGGGTTGCAAAGGAAATATTTAAATACTTCATATATAGTTGGCATGCTCTACAAATTAATCAGACATAATTGTGTGTTTAGAAACATTTCGATATTTCATATCATGATTTTAAATGAAACGATCGTTGATCTTAGGAATATTTAGCCTACAAACATTGATCATAGGAATATTCAAATAAGACTATGATTAGTTTGCACATTTTTATTTTATTGATTTAAGAAAAAAGAAAGTGTTTTCTACATATAATAAAACCACTTTGGTTTTTCCAAAACAAATAATACACGAAGACATTTGATGAAATATTAACAGAAAGGATGAAATTCATGAAAATTTTTTTGATTGCTAATGCTAAATGCATATTTTATATTTAGTAAAAATTACATTAATATCATATTCTTACACACATAAATATTGGAATTTTTAACATTTTTTTTTTTTCATTTTCCTATTTCTTTTTCATTATAGGAAGAAACAGCAATAATTAATAATTTAATCTAAAAGAAGCAGCGCCTGGTCATATATTTTTCAAACTTTTTCAATTTATTTATGATATGATATGATATCATATCATATCATGTCTTATCTGAGGGCATTTCATTTATTTCAATTCATTATTTGAATTGCTCATGGGACCAGAAAAGCAAATTTTATTTTGTTCATAATTCAAAACCATTTTCAACAAATAAATGTGATCAGTAAAAATTCTGGAAATTAAGTGTTTATAATAAAAAGCTGTAACTACTATAAAATATATCTTAATTAAGTTAGGATATTTACTGAAATTTTTAATTTCATTATTTATTTTCCTCATTAAATATTTATTTTTAGAAAGTATTTAATTATCAAATTGCTACAATTGATAGTGAACAGATACTTCAATTCAGTGTGATATATATAAAATTATTTCTCAATGAATTATTCAAAGACTGTGGAAAATTTTTTCACTAACCTAAAATAAAATGAGATTACTTATTCCAACGATCATACAATTCTATTCTGTAATTAAATTAAAATTGAAAGTGTCCATAGTTCAGGCAACTTCTATTTTTTTTTCTTTTGATTTGGTGTGATTTTAATTAAATAGCATAAAATATTGTGTTTCATTTTCATTCATTCTAAAAATATAATCTGAATGATGAAAATTAAAGCAAATCTATTTTGTTATCATTAACAATATTAGCTTATGATAAAGTAGAACGAAAAATCCATCTTATCAGAGAACTCAAAATTTAAAACTTTAGTTTGCTGTATAGTGTAAAAGTCACTTTAATTTTTAGTTTTTTTCTGTAATTCTTTTTATTGATCTAATCTTTAAGTTTGTTCCTTTCCTATGGCAAATATTTTTAGATTATCAGTTTTATTGACAAGGAAATTGTTAATCAATTATATCAGATATTTTGAGAATAAATTTCATCCAAGTTTAAGCTTGATGAATCTTATATGAAAAAAATATTCAAGTGCTAATAAATTTCACTTTTTCGTTATTTTACTACCGATTGCTTAGATGGTGCAAATATATTTTCTAATAGTTTTTTTTTTACAATACGCTTAATTTCATGTAGGCATAGAAATTTTCGAAATTTCAAACCTTTTTAATTTCCTGAGCAAATGTTGATTTTATTTCACAAAATTTTTTTGTTCCTTTGTAACAAGTGATATCATTTTTTTTTTTTTTTATCACAGTTATCATAAAAAATAAAAAATGCTTAAAATTTCAGCATCATTAACTTTAGTATATTTTGGAAATAGCTAATACTCTTTGTATTTTTTCTTAAAAACATTATGAATTAAAACTAATTACTGCTCTCTAATTGATTTGAATTGGTTTTTTTGTGAGGTGCTTTAATAAATTTTATATTTTTTACTATTTTCCGTAACGATTTTCATAGTTATTTTTCCTTTACAATTTTAGTTTTTTTTTTTGTTAACATTAGCTAACATATGGTTATCTTTGTATGGAATAGAATAGAATTTTAATGAATGTTTATTGTAAATTTCTATTCTTTTGCATATTTATATTTAAAGAATAGGATGTGACATTACAAAATTTAATCATTACTTTCTATTCTATTTTATAATTATTAATAAAAATTACCTCCAGATATCAGCTATTTCAGTATTACTCTACACTATTATAAGTATATTCAAATAAATCAAAGTTAAGAAAAAAATTTTTCAAACATCAATTGTTATCAAAATATTTGATTGTGTTGAGCTAAAATTCTTCCAAATAAAGACAAAATTTGCAGCATTATTTACTTATTGTAATCTTTTTTTTTGATTTTGTTTTATTGGCGTAAATGGTTGTAAGCAATTTTTATTAAAATAAGTATTTTCAAAGGAAAAAATTCAAAATTATCAATTAAACAGTATTGAAAGTGATAACAGAAAAGCATTAAAAGTTAAATTGAGCATTTCGATAGTAATTAAAAATATGCAAGAAGATTTCTTTGTTTTTTTATTTTCATTTATACAATAATTTGATGAGATCAACAATTTTCATCCTATTAGCTTCTCTTTCGCTGCTACATTCCTCAAATTGCCATCGTTTTCATCGCTTTTAAAATCTTTAAAACAGAAAAAAAAATTTTTTTTTTACTTCAATTTAATAAAATATTTAATATGTTCAATGAAAACTTTAATCAGTTTAAGTTATTCTCTATGTAATAAAACTTTATACTTGGAAAAGTTTCATTTTATTACTGATTATAATGGATTTATAGTTATTACTAGACGATAAATACTGTGTTAAATTGGAGAATATAAGAGTTTTATAGAAGAAAATATGATGTGATCATGTTGGCAAAAAATGTTATCAATATTTTAAAATTAATTTAAAGGTAATTTCTGTTAGTTAGTCTATAAAAGCATTGCAAAAAATATAAAGAAAGATTAAACTGAAAAACTAATGAAACTAAATCTTAAATTCAAATCTTAAATTGAATTGATTAGAAAATTTGAAGGTGATTTGAAAACTATTAGATTTTACTCAAATATTTTTATTTTCCGTCTTTTTTTTTAAATCTGTATTTAAAAAAAAAAAAATACAAACCTTTATTAACGAATCCAAATAAAAACAATGCAATTACATGACCAACAATCCAAACAATCAACAACGGTTTTAGCCATTTCCGACTGATTACTGATCGATTGATAGTATTATCACATTCCTCAAATTTGTCTTTATTTGTTGTTTTTTATTTGAGAATAATAAAGAAAAGGGAAATTTTTTAACACTCAATTAAAATCTAATTAATTTTTTTTTTTGTACTTTAATTCAAAGTAATTGAATTAATTAGATTAGGTATGATATTCATTTATTTCGAATCATTTGATAGACAATAGAATATGTGGAGTGAATTGTGAATTGGTTTTATTTCACATTGTTATTCGATGGTATAATTTTGAATTTCAATTTTCAAATAGCTCTTAAAAGACAAGGAAAGCTCAATTTCTGCAACATTTTTTCATTTTGCTTTAGGAATGAGAAAAAGTTAACTTTTTAAAAAAAGTTGTTTTTTTCTTTTGTTTTTAACTTATAACTATTTATTCTTTTAATCATTTTCTTCTATCATTATAATAGTTATCTGTTGTATAAAAATAAGAAAATAATTTTAAATTTTAAGCTTTTTTCTGTGTGTGATTTTTAAATAGGCTTAAAAAGAGCTAATTTTGAAGTATTTGAAAACTTTAAAATTTCAAATTAAGAAGAAAAAAATTGGAAAAAAAAATATAAAAGCTTACAACAGTTGGATCAAGTTCTTTATCATCATCTGAGATGCAATCAAGTCCTTTTTCAATTTGAGTTAAAAATATTTCCTCTTTAACCGATTTATCAAATAATTCATAAAATAATTTATTATCAGCTGGTGCCGTAATATAAAGCCATATCATTGCTATACCATTTAATGATACAATAATAATAAATACAACTGCCAATGTATACATTATCAGTAAGCGAAATGTTCGCTAAAAAATTATAGCTAATTAAAATTAAAATTCATTTTAAAAATTTTTTTTTGAAAATTTTTGTCGCAAAAAAAGATTATATTATTTCATATATGCCTATCATCCATATTAAAATATATTGACTTATTACGAAAAATTAATAATTCTTTTTTAATTTTTGGAAAAAAAATTTGTACAATGCAAAACATTTTCAACTACCTCTTCATTTGTTTTTGCTTTTTTAAATTTGAAAAAAAATGGTATAATTAATAACATTGCTATAAATATTGCTGCCGTTGATGTGCACCATAATAGTAACAATTTTTGCTGATGCTGAAATTCCATCACTATCAAAACTAAACACCAAAAATAATAATGATAATGGTAATAATTAATGATAATAATAATAATAATGGAATCATAGAAAACGAAAAAATAAGCTAACACTTTTAAAAATTGCTTCTTCAAAATTATACAAATCGTTGCAGAATGAATTTTAATGATTCATGAATGTTACATCTAATTATCATCTAACTTTTAATCATTACCATAACATTTTCAAAAAAACCAAGTTTCACTGTGCATGCATATATACATAACGAAAATGCAAATAAATTCAGAAAAAAAATGGCTAACAAATATATAAATAAATAATTATACAAATAAATAAAAAACATATAAGTAAAACCTAAAAAAAATAATCTGTCTGTATACATTGATCTTTAAAGACTGCTGTGAATCAATTGATTGAAGAAATTTTATGCAATAAATTCAAATTTTTACATTTCAAAAATGTATTTGATGATCAGAGCAATTTTTGTATTAAAAAAGTATAGTTGGAAATAACAATTATAAAGAATTAAAATTATTGAAATTATTTATAATTAGATTAATTATAGCTTAATACTATTGTTGTTTTTTGAAAAACAAATCAAAAAGAAAAAAAGAAAAAAACAAACGAATTGAAGAATTTGTCGTTCATTATTAGTCCAAACAAATCCTTCAATTTTTTTTCGTTTAGTATCATCGAACATATACATTGCTATTGGAAACAATATCGCGCATAAATCGTAATATTTTTGCGCCACAGCCATTGACATGGCGGAAATGACAAGCTCAAAACCACAAAGCAAGAAAACGGCGTGTTTATGAAATGGTGGCAAATAGCCATTCCATTGAAGCAAATATGTTTTCATTTAAATCCTTTAGAAAGTTATATTTTATCTGAAATTATTAATTATTTAAGATCAAAATTGAGAAATTAATTATAATTTATTTTGTTTAATTTATGCAAATATGAGCAAATAATTTACAGAAAATTAAAAAGAAAAATTCAATTAACGAATGATAATTGCATCAAGATTGAATTGTTGGACAAATTTTATGCAGTAATAATCAATAGATATCATTAATGCATAATATGAAGTTAAAACAAACTTTTATTTATAGCATTTTAACAATAATTTTAATGATGATTTAATTATAGCATTTTAAATAATTCATCATATCAAATTTTAATCAATTATTATATTTAAAATGTTAAACAAAAAATTTAGTAAGAACAACTAATTCTTTATTTTTAGATGATCTTTTAATTTTATTATTATATAATAGTAAAAATTACTTCAATTCATGCATTTTAATCTATTATAAATTTCAGTACTAAATTATTTTAATATCAAACATGCAAAAAAATAATGAAAAATTTTCAAAAAAATTAAACATTTCATAAACAAAAATTTAATTTCTTTTGAAATTACTTATTCAAAACTTTTATCTAATTATTTCTTTTTATTATATCCAAAACTGTTTATTACTTTTCTAAATTATTTTTTCTTAATATTTCTAATTTCTTAATTAAAGATTTGAGAAGTTTTGAACAAAAAATAAGTAAGTTGAAGAAAAAATGTGTTATCATTTGAAAAAAAAAAACAAAAGTTGAATATCATTTTCAACTGGTACTTATTTCAATTCGATTTCAATTTGAAATTTAAATTCATTCATTGTAAAATTGGGATTTATAAATGATCATAGCAAGACTATTTGTTCAATGATCTATTATAAATGATCTATTATCAATGATCTATTATTCACAAAAGTTTCATCAAATTTCCTTGAAATTTCCATCAATATCTTTTTAAATTAAAAATTGTCAAGGATGAAAAATTAAAAAAAAAAAACATCGCTACCATATGCCATATGCAATTAAAATATTTTATTAGCATTAGCACTATATTTACTGATTTTGCTGATAAGATAAGAATAAAAATGCTAAATTTTTAATCAGTGCATTTTTAGCCAAATAGTAAGAGAAATTATACAAAAATTTCAGCTTCAAAATTTATAAAAAATAATTTAAAAAAATATTTGATGGATAAAAAATTAAAAATAAATAAAAGGTTAAATTTTTTTAAAATGAAGTCCTTAACAATATCATATTTAGAATTTAATGCTTCCCTAAATAATTTTTATAACTTCGGAAATTATCAATGAAATGATATTTGCTAAGATTATTAATAATGTCTAATTATTTGATGGAGTTTTTCATTTAATATTACTTAAAATATTTGAATTAGTAATTTTTAAAATTAACATATGAAAAAAGAATTTTGTATAGTAGTATTTATTAATTCTTTTTTCATCCTAATTTTTTTAACTTTGTTAGCTTTGAGAATACATATAAACTTTACTCAGAAACTTTTTTTTTTTTTTTTTATAAAACTGACTTTATACAATTCATTTAAAAAAAAAAAATTATTTAAGCAATTTTAAAGAAAAGTAAAAAAAAAAAGAAAACATACAAATTTATCCGACATATACCATCTTAGCCAATAATATATTTATCAATCCGTAAAATTACGTATATTTTATTGTTTCGTCCTTTACATTTACCAAGGAAAAAGAGTGAAAGATAGATGAGAAGTAGAAAGTGAAAGAGGTGACAAATATTTTATGGAAGATGAAAGTTAGTCATATGTAAACAAATCATAAACAAGTTTTCATTATTGATAAAATTCAAATAATTGTTATTGAATGCTAATGATGCAAATATTGTTTTATGATTTATGTATGCTATTATTAAGGAAGAAAAGGTTTTTTTCTCATTAAATTGTTATTTCATTTCCAGTATTTCAGTTATTTCTGATTTACAGTTAATATTTTTGCTATAATAAATTATTTATGTAACTATTATAGATTTTTTTTTTTAAAAAATGCATTGATTTTATTTCACAGTTTCACTTTTTTTCCTATACTTTTAATTTCTATATTTATATTTATCAATTATGGTTATGTTATACTAAAGTAAATCTTTTTCCTTTTCAACCAATTTTTGTTGTTTGAGTAAAAAAAGAAGTAGCATTAGCATTATTATTAATTAAATTTTAATTGAAGTTTTTCAATATTGTAAAATTAGCAAATTAAATAAATTCGAAAGATAAATATTTTCAAATTTTGATGAAATCGATAAATTGTTATAGCAGCTTAATTGCTATAGCGACTATAATTATTATAAATAACTGATATTTACTATCAATTAAAGTTGTCTCATTATTAGCATCTACAAACTCATATTACTTGCACAATAACAAGAAAGAAAAGTAGAAAATTGCAAAAAATTCCCAATTTCAAATGTAAAAATGAAAAAAAAAATTAGGATTACTAGTTTTGGAATAGAATAAATTTGAATTAAAATAATAGAATAATTGTTAAAATGAATCTACCACAATTTTCAAACTATTATATAGCCATTTGAATTATTCATGCACTTGGTAATATCTCAAAAAAAAGGAAAAGCTTGCGGTAGTAATCTTTAAAGTATTTCATTCAATCTTACCAATAAAATTTTTCACTAACAATAAATGAAAATCATAATTTAGTTTTCTAGGTATTCATACTTAAACTATACTAAAAATTTTTTGCGATTTTGATTAAAGCTTTTAAAATGTTCGTTTTGAGTTTTACACTTTGTACTTTCTAATTTAAAATATTTAACTATCACAATAGATAATTATATACAACCTCTTAATAACAAGTAGAATTTTATTATAGCAATTTTCCAAGTTTAAATGATAATTTCTTATCAATTTTTATTTTAAAGTTAAATATTAGATCTTGAAAAAAAACTTAAGCAAAATTTTTTAGGAAATAAAATAGATTTTTTTAAACAAAAATTAATTAGGAGATGCTACTATAGTAATTTAATATATTAGAAGATGGGAAAAAAGTAATTAGAAAAAGAAAAAGTTAAAATTTGTATGATTAAAAAGAAATAGTATTGTATATTAAAAGCTTATTGATATTATTCATGAAAAATTTTTTTTAAATATCACAAAGATACTACTCATTTCATTTAAAATTATAATTGCTTTATTCATTATTTATTTTTCATTTATAGTAATAATAATAATAATAAAATAAATTGGATTTCTTTTTTTTATTCATAAATATAATGTCGTCTAAGTATATACAAATAATAATTTTTAACATTTATTTTATTTTTTTATTTAAAAGAAAAAAAGAAGAAAAAAGACTAATAATTTTGTTATGAATCCATAATTTGTTTTAATTGTATGTTATTAAGAAAAATAAAGAGAAAATCCATTCTTTTGTTCAACTTTAATTTTCTAATTGTTATTATTTCATTGTTTATTTCAAAACAAAACAAAAAAAAAAATCGATTAATTCTGATAATGCTTTTTGCAAATATTAATCAAATTTTAATATGTATCATTTTTAATATTATGATAACATATACTGCTGATAATGATAGAATTGATGATAGTGATAATGATGATAATGATAATAATGATGATAAATATTACTGAAGGGATAAGCGATTGTCAAATAATAGTAAACAAATAATTTATAAACACCAAAAAACGAGAATAACATTGAATCATTGATTGATTTCAATGCAATGAATTTATTCAATCAATAAATGATTTCAATGTGATAAAATTATAGCGAAAAATGGAACAAAGATGAAAAAAAAGAACAATAATAACATGATAGCAACATGCAATTATTATTATTTATCGACAAAAAAAAGAAGGGGGAAAAGCTCAAAGATCAGAATTTAAATCACAACTTGACCCGAAAAGGTCAAAGAGCAAAGTGGAAGCATAACATCATCATAAAAGCCAGAAAATGTATGCTATAAGGAGAAATTTTGTTCTTTGGTTTAATATTTGCTGTAGGAATGTAAACAAAATTGTGATTATTGATTAATTTTAGAGTATTTTGGATTAACAAATAATTACGATAATATTTTATGAAAATATCAAATTTTCAAGTGATGATATCTCTTGTATCAATTTTTTTTTCTTTTTTTTTTAAAAAATAAAAATTAAAGACATTGTCATAATTTTAATGATCTATTATGATATGATCTAATCGTTTTCATAATAAGTTAAATTGATTAATTCTAGCTAAATCATTTCATAATAGCTTAAATATTTATTTTTAATGTTAAGATAAAATTATAGGTAGGAAAAAATAATTAAAATTAAATGAAATCGCTTTGGTGAGTGTAAAAATATTCATCATTAAGCATAAATCAGTAACTTAGCTCATTTGTTAAAATATAAAATAAATTCAATTAATTTTATAAATTGCAAGTGCGTGAAAATAAGTAAATGCATTTATAAATGATGAAAATACCTAAACATATATATTTTCATACCTTAAATATGGATTTTAAATATATAAAATAAGACAGAATTAATTTATTTAAAATGATTTCGTCGACAAATAGCAATATCAAATGACATAATAATTAATTGTAAGATTTCAATTTAAAATAAAAGAAAATTAAACAAATAAAAAAAAGAAAATCGAAAATGAGCGCCTTTTAATTTCGATAAAATTGAACAAATTGATTTTGGGTTAAAATGAAAAAATTGAATTACCAGCAATTTTGCAGGTTAAGAAAGAGCAACAAGTATTTTAATGATTGATTAACGAGAATAAATTACAACAACTTGAACTTTTCCTTTCTTTTCTCTTATTTTCATTTCATGTTCTTTGGACATTTTTTGATTTCTTTTTTTTTTTTCACTTCTACACAAAATTTTGCAAGGATAATTGAATAATTAAAATGTTTAAATAACCCAAATATCAATATATTATCTAATTTCAATATTATTCAAAAAAAGAAGAAATATAATATATTTTCAGAGGTAATTGTTGATATATTCGTATATTTTCTCGAAAATATATTTTGCTAATCGAATATTTTATGTGTTTCTAATTTATTAATCTTTTCATCAATATATCAACGCTTATTTAATTTTTTTCCATATTTTATTTTTAATTTATTTTAAGGTCACAAAAAAAAAAAACAATTTTTGTTTAATAGGAATTATACATGGATTTTGTAACAATAATGAATGTGATAATTAAGAATAGGAAAGCATATTAAAATAAAATGGATAACGCAAAATCGATAAATTAAATTTTCACTTTAAAATTTTTTTTTTTAAAAAGAAACATTTGATTGTTTAAATTATAAAGTTAGAATTATGGATCCAAAATAAATTTAATTCTATCATCATTTAATAATTGAATTGGTAATGTAAATATGACATATCGATTTTCCAATGATTGTTGAATAGCAATTGCAAGTTCTTGTCGTTGTGATTGTGTTAATACATTTAGTATATCAATTGTAAGAGTTGCAATTTCATGAAATGATTTAAAATTATTCTGAAAATTATTAAAAATTAAATTTCAAAAAATTAAATTTTGAATTTTTATCAAAAAAAGAGGGAGATGAACGTTTTTAAATTTATTAAATAAAATCAGAACAAATATTTATTTTGCAATTTTTTTATGCCAAAAAAAAAAAAAAACTTTGTAATCATAAAAAAGAATTGAAAAAAAAAAATGTTAAAAGAAAAATACTTTATTAACACATGTTGCAATCTCTTTTGCTTCACATCGTAATGCTAATGTATTCTCTGCAAGTGTATAAAAATATTTTCCTTTAATATAAGTTGCTTTTGCAATATTAATATCATTGACAATAAATGCTGGATAAGGCCAAAAGCTGGTGGTTATAATAAGTCCCTCAGGTATAACACCGATCGAATGAAATGCTTCCATTACCTGTAATAGAACTCAATTTTGATTTAAAAGACAATCATTTATTTACATTGCTATAATTTACTAGTAATTTTATTTTTATTATCTTATTGTTATTATTATTGTTATATCATTGTCATTGTCATTATTATTATTGTTATCATTGATATCTTTTATAATGATAATAATAGTATGAAAAAATGCTTTGCATTAAAGTAATATTTAGTTTTATATTTTTAATTAATATTTCTATTGCATACAATAATTTCAATAATTCGTCATAGTTTAAATTTCTAAATTTCAATATATTTTGTATATTTCGCTTCTAATAATTTTTTTTTCTTCTTAACCTAATTATTGCACTGAATTTACTAGTTTCCAAAAAATTAATAGAGAAAAATTTTGTTTATTAATTAATTAATTAATTAATTAGTAAATTGGGAGGATTGCTTATAAATATTTAATTTTATTAAAAAAAAAAAGTTAAATTTATATATGTATTAGAAAGAATATGAAAATTTTATTAGAATAGAAGAGTTAAGAGTTTTTAATCAAACTTTCTTACTGCTTCACGTAGTTGACGTTTGACGTATACATCAGCTTCAGTGAAATTTGCATGTTGTCCAGGGATACGTGGTACATAGGCAGTATTCCTGACGAAAATGAAAAAAAGTATAAATGAATTAAGTTCATTTAATAAAACTTTTTTACAACAATCACTATGCTATTGTAATTTAGAAAAAGATATTAGTCGTAATTAAAATTTTTTATGTAATTAAAGAAAAAAAAATATTGCATTCATTGAAAAATTTTTGAAATTTTTGCTCATTTATTCAAAATTATATATATTTTTCTTTAATTATTATTACTATACAGCAATTATTATGTGATAAATTATTATAAATCACGATAAATTATTATAATTTGGAGTTGAAAGAAATCAGGAAAACATTCAGGAAATATTTTATACTAAAAGTGATAATGTTTTTTTTTTTTTTGAAATTTTATTAAAAAACAACAACAAACTCTTCACAATCACAAAAGCAATTATAAGTCCAAGTGAATGGTGGTCGAAATACCAAACGGTAGACCATTACTGAACCTCCCACTCCTTTAAAATTTAAATTTTTAAATTTTAAAGAATAAGAAAACATATGGTTTATTTCATATACTATTTCACTTCATTTCAAATTTAAGTTTATTTTAATTTAAAGCTGAATTTAATAAACATAATTTAAACTACTTTTATTTATTAATTAATATATATGTATATAAAAGTTTTTTGTGATTAATTTTATACAAAACAATCTCACTTACTTTGTGATATTTGTTGATTGTATGGAAAATTTCCAATTTGTTGTTGTTGATTTAAACATGGTTGAGAGTACGGTAATGGATATAATGGAAATAAATTGTACGGTTGATTTGATTGAATTGAATATGGTTGTGAACATTGTTGAAAATAATTCACAAAAGATGATTGTTGATCATTTAATGGATTAAACTGATTAATATTTATGCATGTAGCATACGGTGGCATATGATTTAGTATATCGATGACAAAAATACAAATTAAAAGTTGAAATATTTGAAAAATTTCCATTGAAATACTACTGTTATTAGTGATTTGTATGTGATTGAATTTGTGCAATTAATGTTTTACCTAAAAAGAATGAAAAAATAAATAAATTTCACTATAAATTTTAATAGTTATTCGATTGTGAGTGAAATAATTTTCAATTTTAAGCAAAAAACAGACTATGATAGCATAAATTTGATTTTCAACCTTTTAAAACTTTAAAATTCTGAACATTGCAAAAAATTCTAATTTTCATAATTTTTTTTAAAAAAAAAAATTAAATACATAAAATAAAAATTTATCACCAAATTTCTACTCACAGACATTGTCAGATAAAAATTTTAAATTAATGAAAAGATTAATAACTGATATAATCCAATTTTGATTAGAAAAAAAGTGGTTTAGTGTTAAAATCTATATTCATGAATACTTCGAGAGTGCAATATCGATTAGATGTAATGTCAAACTTTTAGTTTCATTATAAATTTTGAAGAAATAAAAATTGTTCAAAGAAAAAATTATTTGAAACAAAATTTCGAATTAAAAAGGAAAATTTGAATATAACCTAGAGCAAACATTTCGTCCTGATCAAAATGTTATATAGATATGATGTGCTCTGTTTTTTTCTTCAGAAATTTAATTTTTAGCTAAATTTCAAATTTTATGATTTTTCAAATATTTTCAGTTTTACCTATCTGCAAATGTATTTTTTTCTCTTACCAGATAAAAAAAAAGAAACTGAAATTACTGATTAAAAAAAGCACAAACTGCGCAATAAATGACAAGTGCGCCTGATTATTATTAAGCAAATTCAATTCTTTATCGAATAAATTTACTAAATATTGTAATAAATTTTTAATGAAATTAGCTAAAATGATTAAATCAATCATAATAATTATATGAAATAAAGAAAATAAAAGAAAAAAATTAAATGCAAATGTATCATATGTATTATAAATGGGAAAATTAATTTTTTAAGTTGATATAAAATGGAAAAATTGATACTAAAGTTTTATAATTAGTATGAAAATTTAAAATTTAAATATGATTTTGATTTAAATTTATAAAATCACCGAGATCATATGGATATCATTTTAATGATAAAATATGAAATGAGATGAGTAAACATCCAAATTTATACATACAATAGAAGTAGAAATTAAATAAATTTGATCATAAGGAAGTAATTATTCAAATGCATTATAATTGTTATATATTTTTTCAATTGAATTTGAGAAAAATGTAATAACATTTTTATTAAATATTAGGGTAAACTATTCATTGTTGAATCTATTATAGTTTATGCTTTAAATATAAATATATTTTTTAATTTATACTTGTTTTACCATCTAAAGCTTTATGACAAACAAAAAAAAAAAATTTTGCAACAAATTTCACATTTTATATAAACTATTTTAATAATTTGTTATAAAAAGCAAAAATAAATTATGTTTTCAAATTTTTATATTTACAATTCAAAATGATTACTAAATAGTTTATATATTTAATTTCTATTTATTACTTATTTACCTTATATTTAAAAATGTCTTGTTTTTTCTTTTTTTACGCTATCACTTGTTATCAATTAATTATTTCAATTGTAACAAACGAATTTTTCTTAGAGAATTAATTTTTAGTGAATTTTTTTATGAACATAAGTTAATTTTTATTAGAAGTTGGATTAAAATTTGACGAAAACTCTTTCCATACTAAATAATTGAAATAATCAGTGATTATTTCTGATAATATTATCAGGAAAATTTATCAAACTTAACAAATGATAACAAATGTATTTAGTTTCGGTGTAGTAAAATAAAATAAAGTGCGGCATTTTTTTCCAAAATAAAAATAATAAATTCATTATTTTTTCCTTTTAAAATTGCAGAACAAATATTGAAAACATTTAAAAAACGACTGAAAATTTTCGAAAATAATTTATTATTTGCTGAAATTTACATAGTGATTGATGCATTTGCCTAGAAATTACCTTCTGGGAAGTTTTCTATTATTACTATTTAGTTAAACTTCCTTTTCTCCTTTCCGTCATTCTTTCAAATTTTAATTTTTGAAAATTTTCACTTATTTTGTCCATTCATTTAGACATTTAAACGTTTATTTCTTTTTTAAAATTTCATTCATCAATTCGATTACTTGTTGTTTTCATCAGATATTATTAAATATCATTGGTGAAAATTATTGATAAATTAAAACTTAAATGATTGCGGAGCAGCTAACATTTCTGATCAAAGAAGATATAAGAACAGAAAATTTGAAATGCTTTACTGAATTAAACAAATATAAATTAGCACAAATCATAAATTACATTAAAATTTTAGGAAGTGCTATTCGATGCAAAACATTATCTTTTATCCAAAATATTTCATTTTACTTTTAATTTTACATCAACAATTATGATAACAAATTCTCAATTCTGAATTTAATTTTCGATATTTTTCACAAATATTTTTTCAAGTAATTTTTTTTATTTTTTTATTTATTTTTAATTGTTTTATAAATGATTTAAATTTATTCAAATTTATTTGCAACAAATACATTAACAGAAATTTGAACGAACAATTGTTTAATATTTTAATTTTATACATTTCTTCAATTTAAATATTACAACAATTTTGCATTATTACTAGATGAAATGAATAAAAGAAATATGAAATATTTAATTATTAAATGGTATGAAATGAATTTGAGAAAGTAATGATAAATTATAATTTAAATGAAATGCATTTTGATGGATGGAATATATCAGTGATAGTGGAATAGTTGAAACTATATGCTACTGATAAATGATATTTTATCAATTACTCTCAAAATTTATGCAATTCATTTCATCTAAAATACACTCAATCAAAGTTAAATATCATTAATATACAAAATTATAAACACAAATACATCTGTGCATATGATAACATATATTCAATTTCAAATTTAAAAAATAAAATCAAAAAAGAAAACAAACAAACAAATATTATTTAGCATAATTTATATTTTAATAAAATTGAAGTATTAACAAAAATTTATGCCTAAATTTTGGAGAAGTCCAAACGAAAAATTTTATTATATAAATTCAAAACTGCAACACTTCAAATTTCTTACAAAACCCGTATTCTAATATTTGTTAATATTAACAAAAAAAAAAAAAAAATGATAAAAATTCAAACTTATAGAAAATTTGGATTTTAAAAAATTTTTGAAACTCGAAAATTTTTAACACTTTATTTCCTCGATTTCATTAATATTAATACAAATATGCAGATTTTAAATTTATTCAGTATTCAATAAGAAAAATTTACAAATCATATATTAGTTAGTATAGGTGGCGGTGGTGGCGGCATTTTTGATGAAATTCCGGAAATTGGTGATTCCGGTGGTGGTGTTAATGGTTCCGTTAATGATGTTGGTGAATTACTGAGATGTTGTGATAGTGTTAATGCTATCCTTGATTGTGATTGCTTTACATCTGTATATTTCTTCTGCAAACAATTTTCAAAATTATCATGAATAATAATTTTGAAAAAAAGAAAAAATAAAATTAAAAAAAAATGAAATGAAAAAAAAAAAAAAAGAAAAACGAAAAACAAAAATAAAATAAAACCTTTTGTCGTCGTTCCAACCGATTGTATGCAAACAAAATTAGCAAAGCAGTTGATAATGCAAAAATGATAAGAAACAAAAATAAAATTGCAATTTCCGAAAGTTGTGATAAGCCATAACGTGCACCAAATAAAAATGTGCAATCAGCAACATGATTAAGTCTGAAAAGTAAAAGTAAAACAAATTTTTTGAAAATTTTATTTAAAAATTTTTTAATAGAAAATAAAATTATAATAATTTGTAAATAAAAAAGATGTGAAAATTTTTTTCAACTTTTATTACTATATAATTAAAATTTACGCAAAAAAAAAGTTAAAAATTAAAAGAAGTATAAGTAAAATAATAAATTGAAAAAAACTACAATTTTTTTTAGATAAAATCACTTTTGTTCTAATAAATATTTGCATAAAATTTCATAATTAATAAATCATTTTTACAAAGTATTAATTTGAGATATTTCTTTCTTTCCTCTAATTTAATATTACCTGTAAATAGGTATTCCATGAAAATGTTCAGGTGTTACGCAACTTGTCTGTTCATATCGTAACTCACGTCGATATGCGTAACGATCCAACATATGACGCTTTAATTCTTCCACATAACACGTACAGTCTAATGGATTACCGTGTAAGTCAACCTTAAATTTAGAACAGAAATAGAAAATAGAAGAATGAGAAAGATAAAAAGATCAGTTCATAATTATTTATAATCATTAATTTATATAATCTCTTTTAAGACTTTAATTATTAGCAAGATAATTCATTAATTAATAATTACTCTTAAGAATTTAATTACCAGCAACGTTAATTAATCTTTATGCTTTAATTAATTGTTTTCTCAATACTTATTCCTTTCATATTTTCTTTTTTAATTAAATATCATTAATTACTATTTGCTGCTCAATAGTTGCTAAAGAAAAACAATTTATTTGAATTAATTTATTATCAAAATTATGCATATTATTAAATATAAGAATGTTTTGATTAATTAATCTTGTTATTCTACTTAGAATTTATTATTTTGTGAATAAAAATTTTCATAAAATTTATCTAATGTGATATGAAATTTCGGAAAGAGAGAGATGAAAATTGGAACAGAGTTAATTTTCTTAAAGTTTAGTTTTTTTTTTCCTTTCTCCATTTAAGTATCTAAATTATTTGATGAGATATGTGTTTGCGAAAATTTTTAATGAAATAAACAAATCCTAAACTTGCATTTTTCTGAAAATCAAATTTAATAATTATTAAAATTTCTAAATTGTAGTTTTAATAAATTCTTATGTTTCAAAAAATGAAATGGATAAAAAAAAAAGAGTCATTTTAATCATACTTTTTTCTCTTGGTATTTATCATATCACATTTACTAAATAAGATATTAAATGCTATTGAAACAATGATAATTCGTTTTGTTATTTCAGAGAAAAAAATTTATTAAATTTTGTAGCTTTAATGAAATCAACAAATTTTTCAGTAAATTAATGTGTGAATTTGATGAAATAATAGTTAAATTTTGATTGATTATATCAAAGTATATTTCTAGATTGAAATCAGTTATATCAATTATTATCACTAATATATCAATGATGCAAGCAATTGCCTTCATTATAGCAATAACTTTGATTATATGAAAATTAAATTAAAAGTAATTTAAAATATTCACAATTATTTATGAGTAGAAGAATAATTATATAATCACATTATTATTATTATTATCGATAGTGATAAAGCATGATAACAATATTGTTACTATAATTGCTATTAATATTACTGTTTTAACTGTTATTTATGAATAATATTTCATGAAATTATATGAAATGAAAAAAAAGAACAAAATTCTTTTTTTTTAAATTAATAATAAAAGGAAAAAAGCCTTTTTTCTAAACTAAAAATAAATTTTTAGTCTTCAATTTTCTTTAACTTTTTTTATTTTTACTGAATAAGCAAAATATAATTAATCAAAAAAAGGAAGAAAAATATGACAATCGAAAAAAAGTGATTAATACAAAAAATAAAAATGAAGAAAAAAAGGAGAAAATAATAAAATAATTTGTTAATTTTTGAAGGAAAAAAAATGAGCTAAACAGATTTAAATTATTTTGAATAAAAAAAAAAGTAAAAAAGAAATGAATTTAAATGAAAATTCGTTTTTTTTTTTTCTTAAATATTACAAATGTTTTTCCTTTTGTTTTGTTTTTTTTTTTTTTCAAATAACATCAAATTAATCATTCAGTCCCTCAATTTTTTCGTTTCGTTTTATTTTTTCAAATTTCTTTTTTTTTTTTGCATCGTTAAATTGCAAAAGTATTTGAAATAGAAAAAAAAAAAGCGAAAGATGAAAAATTTGAGGAAAAAGCCGAAATTTAAATTTAGCTATACTTGGCCATTCACCTACTTGATGATCCCCTTGAGGCTCATTTAATATATCGTAAAAACGAAACATCTGTCATGCATTCTTCTTTCTTTTTTTTTTTGCTAATTTTTCGAAATTATACTCCGAATTATTTCTAACCTAAAAATTTATACCATTTTTTTTTCATTCCTTTCTTTTCTTTATTCGAATTTTTTTTTTTCATTTTTAAAGATTTTATTTGTTCAAATAATTATTTTTAATCATTAAAACAATTTTTTTTCGCCTTTTTTTTTAAAAAAAAAAGACATTTTTTATTCTAATATTTCTTTTTTTTTAATACAATTTATCAAAATTTATATTTACACTATTATAAAATATTTCTTTAAAAAAATATGACTATTTTGCTAGCATTCTTTTCCAATTTTAATGAAATTTGATCAACAATTTTGTATATTTCTAAATTCAATTAATTTTAGATTTAAAAATCTACGATTTTAATATCATCCAATTACTTAAAATTTATTCACTTCTTTTCCCTGAATTTATGTCAATGAAAAATCAGAATTATATATATTTATCATAGTGTAAAAATTTTTTCCGTTTGATTGAATTGAATTAATACAAATTATTTATTTGTAATCCAATTAGTATTTTAGGTTTTCAGTAAAATTTAGATATGTTTGACATTCAGAAAATTTCTTGTAACATTATCTATTCACAACAGTACTACATATCCGGTTGTCATTAAAAGAAACATATCAACTACCGGAAACGTAGTATTTCTTTTTCTAATATTTCACCTATTTAATTGAATTGAATTAATACAAATTATTTATTTCTAATCCAATTAGTATTTTAGGTTTTCAGTAGAATTTATACATGTTTGCATTCAGGAAATTTCTTGTAATATTATCAGTCCATAATGATACTACATATCCGGTTGTTATTAAAATAAGGCTTCCTACTACCGGAAACGTATTTCCTTTTCTAATATTTCTTTTTGATTTGTTCAATTCAATCAATAATTCTGCATGAAAGTGAAACCTTCAACTATCTGTGATCGATGAATTTTTTTTTTTTCATTTCATTTTCAATCATTTGTAAATCGTTCATTTAATTTCAGAAATGAAATGAATGGTTGTTAATGATGGATGGAAAAGAAGGAAAGGAAAAGAAAAGAATGAATGAAATTAAGAGGAATGAAAGAAATGAATAGAATTTTGATTAGGAAAGATTACATGAATAATGATGGGTAAACGATGAAAGTTATAAAGTAAAAGTAAAGAATGAGAAAATGTAACAAATTCGGAATGTGTCTAGACGGAACTATGATAGATTAGTTATCAATTTATCAACATTGCAAATTAAAAAAGTTAAAAAGTTTAATCAAAGTTTTGTGTTCAAAAAAAAAAGACTTTAGAATTTTAAAATTCAAAATGAAGTTTCCAGAAATTTTAATTTTAATTTTCGAAACTTAAAAATCAATCGAAATTTCTTTTTAAAGAAAGAGAAAGAACTGTGAAATAAATATTCAAAAATAAGTAAATAGAAAAAATAAAAGCAAAGATTATATTTTTATAATTCATTTCTGATACTAGAAATAAGCTAAAGTTATTTAATTATTTTGATATTAACTAAATTATATTAATAATGCTCTGCGTACAAAAATAGAAATAATTTCATTATCAATTCTATTCTTCTTTTATTTTATTTCTCATTTGCTTTTCCACATGATAATTGTGACAAATTAACAAATTTAATTAAGCAAATTTGCATTTAAAATTTAATGAATCAATTTTTGTTGAAATTTAATTTTAGTCTTTTATTAAAAATTTGCACTTGAAGAATTATTTTAATATAATCATTTTGATTCTCTTTATTTCTGTTGTATTTTTTGTATGCTAATTTTCATGCTAACAATTACCATTAAACAACAACAACAAAAAAAAATCTTTCTAAATGTGATGTAAAATTGATCGTTCAAAAAGAAAAAAAAAAAAGAAAAAATTGAAAGAAAGAAAATAAATAAATAATTGAAGCGTAAGCTTTTTATTGAGTTAAAAATTATCCAAAAACCAATGAAAAGCTTTTTATTACTAAATTTGAAGAGTTGTTAAGTATGAATGATAATATACGTTTGGCGGTAAATGACATGAAAAGAGGAAAATCGAAACAGATGACAAATGGACATTCTCATTGAATGGGGACAATTGGATGATAAAAATTTGTAATGCTTAACCCATCGAATGAATGAATGTCTTTTAATTTCGTCCTATAGTATTTTCATTTTACAGATAGCTGAAACCATATTAGCAATAAATTTGTTAAATTCAAATTAAAAAGGAAAAAAAAATGATTTGAAAAAAGGAAAATCAAAAAATATAAATTACTAAATGATAATCTTATCTTAGAAATTGTTGTATTTCACTATAAAATTAACGAACGAAAACAATTATTACAATTTATTTTGTTGACTTTTTTTTTTTTAGAAGATTGGTGAGATTTTAGTGTAAAAAAAATGTAAGAAAGGAAAAAAAATAGATTTAAAATATAAAAAAAATTTTAATATTTTAAAGAATCACAAAATTTCAGTATCTAATTTATTGCTAGTAAATTATTTTCAGTTAAATCAGCTGTTCTTTAAAAATTTATTTATAAAATTAATTGCTATAGCTATTTGTTTTTTGTTATTACTATTTACTACTTACCATTAATGTTCATTTAATCTATCATTTATATTTCATTTAAAAAATTTTACTTTTTACAAAAAAAAAAATGTTGAAATATTAAATAAAATTTTTACTTTAAAAGTTTTTAAATTTAAAAAATTCTCTTCTTTTTATTTTTTTTAAAAATAAACTTTCTCATCAATTATATTTGAATTATGTATACATTTATTTATTAATTAATTTGTTTATGATCTATGTGTTTATTATTTATATTTTTATGCAGTGATGCAAATTTAAGTAATGAATTACACAAATGATTTCATATTTATGTAAACCATTATAAGACATATATCTCTAGAAGATATTATTAATAATTAAATTTACATTAAAATAACATCAACACATTATATCATTTAATTATAAGAAATGATTTATTTATGTCTAAATAAACTATTTATAAAAGATTAGTTAATGCAGAGATAATGCTAAAATTTAATTACATCAAATGCTTATTTATATTTAAATAAATTATATATATATGAAATTATTTAAAATATCTTCTAATAATATTATACTTTCTCTTTTTCACTTTTTTTTTGCTTTTATCTGTATATTTTTAAGTAAACAATTGAAATAAACCAATAAATTAAACAAATAAATCACGCAAATAAATTTAGCAAATAAAATTTGCAAATTAAAAAAAAAAGACTGCCGTAGATATAATTAAAATAGAAGAAAAAAGATTTCTATTATAATAAATTTTTTTCTTTATTCAATAATTTTAATCATTTTTCACTATAAATGTAGAGGTATACTTGAAAAAAAAAAATTATAATAATTAATGTTCCACTTCCATAAATATATAATAAATTATCAGTTAAGAATAATTATGAATCATTTAATTATAGTAGATCGTTTATGAAAGAATGAAAAATAAAAATGAAATTTAAATTTAAATATCCTTGAAAACCTGCAAAAAATTTCTTTCAACTCATTGAAATTAATGTCTTTTCTTCCTTTTTTTTTTCTTTACTTTTTCGAAAATTATTATCATTATGTTGAGGTCATCAATATATTGGCATTTAATTTTCTGCCATTTTTAGTTTTCAACATTGCTTTGTTAAAAATTTCACGACTAAACGACGCAAAAAAAAATGATAATTGTTTTTCTTTATTTATATTTAAACATGACATGTAAAATTTAAATTAAAATTTTAAATCTCAAATATTATACTTCTCCAGCAACTGTTATATTAAATTTTAAAGTAAATTAATATGGTCATAATTCTGTGAAATGTCTAACTACAAAATTTATATCTTATTTACAAAAAAAAAATGACCTTCAACTGAATTGAAGTGGGCCTACTGATCAACAGCTTACAGGATTATCTACAATTGACCTTCGTCCAGTAGGCATCATCTGTCTATGCAACTAACAAATTTGGTTTGCCTTACCGAAATAGTAAACATATCAGTATGACAAATAAACAAAGACACAGCATTGTTACTTAGTTAACACAATTTTATAAACAAAAAATTTTCAAATTATCCAAATTTTATTTTTGGTGACAGAAAAGATAAATGAAAAAAAAAGAAATTGTCTGCAAATTTTTAATTTTAATATTTCGTCACAAAATATGTTAATATTTATATTTACGCAAGTATTATGTATATATGATTTTATAAAAAAAGAAATTATAAAAATTTATAGAAAAAAATTCAAATTAAACAAAGATAAATTTAAAAAAAAAACTAACTAACCTTATCCAAATTATTGAAAAAATTTTGAATCACTGTTACTGGAAATGTTGTGAAACGATTTTTTGAAATATCAATCATTCGAAGCATTGGTAAAATCTCTTTCGAATAATCCAGTAATGTTGTCAGTTGATTTCCAGTTAAATTTAAAATTAATAACTGCGCAAATTCATTGGGTAATTGTTGTGGTAAGTATTCAATAAAATTATATCCCAAATGAAGTATTTTAAGTTTTGTCATATTAGCTATTAGTGATTGTTCAATACTTGTAATATGATTTTCATTAAGGTGTAAAATTTCCACAGTTTCTTGAGCTATTCCAAGATAGTTTGAATGAAAATGATCAAAATTATTACGTGATAAGTCTAATTCACGTAATGCTATTCCAGTTTTAAATGAATTAATAGACAGTGCATTAGGATTAGTACCAAGATGATTACCAGCAAGTAATAATTGAGTAATATTTGTTTTAGCAAATATTTCTGATTCAATTTCAATCAGTTCATTATCACTAAGATCAAGCGTAATTAATGAGCTTAAATGATTACGTAATGCATTAATTGGTACTTTTCCAAGCATATTACGAGCAATGCCAAGTTGATACAATGAATGAAATTTATTTAATGCTAAATCATTTATAGCACCCATACTTAAGCCACATTCATTTAATTCTAATCGTTCCAATTGTGGTATATCAGTAAAAAGTGAATTTAATTGTGTTACTGATATATGATTACCATCTAGATGAAGTGATTTTAAATTTTTTAAATCACGTAATAGATTTACGGTAATTTCAGTAATATTATTATATGCTAATGAAAGAATTTGCAAATTTTTAAGATACGCAAAAGCACCAGTTGGTAAAACACTTAATAAATTTTTAGCTAAATTAAGCTCACGTATAAATGGTACACCAGAAAATATTGAAACTGGTAAATGTTGAATATGATTGCCACGGAGATCAAGAATTTCCAATGAGCGTAATTTTAATGCACGACTAATTGCTGGTATAGCACAATTAATAAGACGTAAAACACGTAAATGTTTTAATTGATTTAAATTGTCATCCCAGAGCAAATGATTTGGTTGTTCTAATGGTGCTTCAACATCAAGCACAGTTACTTCTTTTGGAATTTGTTTGAGAAGTTTAGAAAATGCAATTTGTTCTAAGCCACCTTCATGACAGTATACAGAAATTTCCATTTGACTACCATCGGTAATATCATTATTCCAAATGACATGTTCACATTCACAAAAATTTGGACATTGTGAATTTGAAATTTGTATATTCTCTGTACTGTGATCTAGTGATCGATCAGTTCTCTTCTGATAATCATTAACTTCCGGAATATATTGAATTCCATAATTTTGAATATTTTTTGTAGCATTGGAAGAAATAGCATTAGCAGTGATGTTAATTATTGGCCAAAAATTGATTGAAATGAAGGAAGTGAGAATAAAAATAGCTGTAATTGGTTGAACAGATGGATAATAATTTGCAGAAGAGAATCGGTTCATCCGGAAATTGTTATTATTGCAATATGATTTGTCAATATTAGTTCCTGAAAAACGAAAAAATGCTAAATTATCGTTTTTTTCTTATTGTAAACATTAAGCATAAATAAAGACAAGGGAATATGATGAAAGCATTGAATATTATAATTGTCATAATTGTAATTCTTAAATTATCATAATTTGTAATCTTAAAGTAAACATCTGATGTCAATTATTAATGACTGTTATTATTATTATTATTACTATTACCGTTATTTTTATAATTAACATTATTACTACTATTATCTCTATTACTATCATTATTATCAACAAACAACAAACATATTGTTATTATTACCAATACACTATATACAAAAAAAAAAAACACATTTAAACAAAAAGGGAAGAAAAAGGTACACCAAAAAGTAAAAATGTCATAATAGAGTTGTTGACAGAAAAGATATAAGCGTTAGCTATTTCATTTAATTTTTTTTTTTTGATAAAAATAAAAATTCAATTTATCTAAACAAAATTTAAATTTGCATCCTTTCATTCTTCATTTCATCCATCTGTCATACTCGTTTCCCATTTCTTCATCACTTCTCTCTTTTCTCCTTTTTATTTGCTGATTTTGTAAACAAGTTTCAAAAAATTCTCTCCTCATCTTATTCAATAATTTTCCATAAATTATATTCTTCTGCCTCCCTTTTTTTTTGCATTAAAAACATTTGAAAACAAAAACAAAAAGCATTTTTAAATAATTTAATTTTTGTATGATATTGAAAAAAAAAAAACAAAAAGAAACTGAAATCATTAAATTTAAATAAATTTCCATAATATCTATAAATGAAAAAAAAAAAGTTGCATGAAAATGTTAACTAAACAATAAAGAAAAAATAAGAAAGTATAAATTAAATAGCATAATAATATATGATAAAATAAGTTTAGCCTAAAATTAACCATTAATAGTTTTGCTAATTGGCTAAATTTAATTAGTTGAAAATAAAAAAAAATAGAAAAAAGCGCTTTTTTTTCGACTTAATATTAAATTTTTGATTAAATATAAATTAATTATAATTATTAAAAAAAAAAGGACAGAATGATAAATAAAGAAGTTAACAAAATGGTTGCTAGGATTTTCAACTGATTATCGAGTGTCAATTTTATTTGAATATATGTTTGATTTCATTCTCTCTCTTCCTCCCTCCCTCTCTCTCTCCTTCTCTCTCCCTTCTTTTCGCTGTATTGTTCTGTCCCATTTTAAGTCCACAGATTATGGGTGTGGTCAAAACGGCTTAATTGACCAAACGGATGTAAGCCTTTGACCACTACTAGTACTACTACTACTACCAGTTATTATAACTAAATTATTAGGCGGTTAACTCTTTTAATCTTTTACCAGCACACCTCGATTACATGAATAAATAACATTTATATAATAACACATACTGTAAGTAAATATAATATATAATAAATTATACATTAAAATATAAAATATATAAAAATAATAAATTTTACAATAATAATTAATTATATAAGTAGTAATTAAATAATAATTAAATATATATAATACATGTAATATAAGTATAAAATACAATAAAATATATTAAATTAACAGTAAATTATATAATAATAATTAAAGTATTAAAGTATATATATTTGTGTGTGTGTCTACCATTTGTACATTTATGTAATTTAGATAAATTATAATATAAAATAATAAATTTGTAATATATGTGATTCATAAGAGTATAATTTTTAAAAAATAATTTAAGAAAAAAATTTTTTTTTACAATTTATAAAAATTTTATAATTTATAATAAATACGTAGCTAAGTTATAATATGAAATAATATATATTTATGTAATTAGTTAGTTAAGTTATATGGTATAAAAAGTAATATTTATTTTAATAATTTATGAGAGGAAATTTACAATAAAATAAAAAAATTTGTTATTTTCTAATGTTATTAATAATAATTTGTGTGAAAAAAGGAAATTTTTTTATTTTTCACTTATAATAAAGTAAAACTAAAATCTTTTATAATTAAAATAAGAGAAAAGAAAAAAAAAGAAAGAAAGAAAAAGAAATGCTATAAATAAATTTTAGTTTAAAGAAAAAGACAACAGAGTAAATTTAAAGTTTTGAATAATAACAAACTCCTTTTTGTCTTTCTTGTAATAAAATAAAAATAAAATAGCATTAGTGAGCATTAAACTTTAATTTTTACAATTACAAAAATTATGAATTAATTAGAAAAAAACAGAGCGAAAGAAAAAGAGAGAGAGAGAGTTAAATTTGATATTTTATATGATTGATATAAAGTAAATGATTTGAATATAAGGGAACAAAAAAAAATGATTATTTTTTTCTTCCACTGATGAATAACTTGTTTGTAATAAAATATTAAAATTAAAATAAACTGATATATCAATTCTGAAAATGAGAAATATTATAGTATGAATTATTAATAATAATTTCGTTGGCAATTTCATAGCAGATTGCATTTCATATTCTACTAGTAATTAAATTTAAATTTAATGCCAATTATTTCATTCCCTTTTCCTCAAATTTCACAATAATACTTAATTTATTGATTAAAAAATAATTAACTCTGTAAATAATTAACAAATTAATGAATGAATGAAGAAATTTTATATTTTGTAAAATTTTTTTTTCAAATAAATAAAACTTATTTGATCAACTTTTTTTATTAATTATTTTCTCATTTCAATAAATAATGTACTTTCAAAAAATGCTTTATCATTTCCTTCACTCCAACTAACTATCAATAATTTTTGAAATTAAAATGAAACAATCAAATTAAGACTATTCATAGTAAATAAAAAATAAGATTTACTAGTAAAATGACGTGTAGCAGTATTGCAAAGAGAAAAAGTTCAATTAAGATTTAAATTTAAATAAATCAAAAAGATTTAAAATAAATTAAAAAACAAGGATAGTAGTGGTTGAATGCATAATTAATCAATAATTTCATTTTAAAATGTAGAAATGTTAGCACAAATTGTATTAATAAATTACAAAATTTGAATTTAAAATTTAAATTATTAATGATAAGAAAATTAAATCTTATTTCGGGAAGTGTTGACTATTTATATAAATGAGATATTATCTTTTTTTTTTTTTAACTATAACAATGATCGCAATTATTCGCTTATTTTTCATGCAAAATAAAACGACTAGAAAATTTGCAAATAAAAATAAGAATAAATAAATGTGTTAGACAATAATAAAAAATCGTAAAATAAAAAAATGAAATTGAAAGAAAAAATTTTAAGTTTTTTGCTTTAGTACTATTATCAAAGTTATACTTTTCTAAATAAGCAAAAATTAAAATAAATAAAATAGATAAATTGATGAATTTATAATTGTTATCACTTTAATTTTTTTGATAGGTAGAAATGGTATTTAAAAAAAAAATGATTCATTTAGTTTCTCACTGATTGAGTAAATCTGATATAAGTTAAAAATAAAATAGTGATTCACATGAGAATGAAAAAAAAAAGAACTGAAATAAATATCGAGAAATTATTGTAATTTACTGATGCATATCGTATAATTTTAATAAATTGCAAAAATTCAAATTATTTTGTGAATAATAATAAAAATTATAATAATAGTAATAATAATGATAAATAATGATAATTATCATGAAAAAAAGCATTGTCCTTGGAATGAAATTGTTGTCACAGACAATTTTCACTGCTGGAAAGATATTTTGAATACAGAAAAATAGTAATTTACTGTTTGGAAACCGACTTTGTGCATCGATAATTTCCTTTATTTTTTACCGAATGATTAAAACATTTGTTAAAATAGCGAATGGCATGGAAAATTTTCACTAAATTTAAGTATTATTAATGAAAAAAATGAAAATAAAATATATAGAAAGTATGTATTATAAATAATTTAATAAAAACTATGAATGATTCAAATAATATATTCAATTAATGATTAATCGAATTCATTTATTTCAATAATAATTGTATTTTTGGTGCTTAAAAAGTTATTGGTTTAAGTTAAAGTTAACAATATTTTTTGTTATTTTGTAGATTTTTACATTGCTAATAAAATAATGAAAGAAAAAAAAAAGAGAAAAACTGTGAAAAAAATTTTTTTAGAATATGTTTTGTAGAAATTCAATATTTTTTTAATCAAAATTAAAAAAAAAAAATGATATATTTAACAAAATGATAGTACCATTAATCGAAAATATTATCATTTCTTATTACAAACATTTTTTTCTTCTAATTATTTTTTAACACTAATTTACCTATGCTAATAGTAGCAATATGATAATAATAATTTAAGTGTGATAATTATTCCTACAGTTTCTTTATTAGTAACAATAATTGTTGTTGTTATTGTGAAAGTAATAAAAGTAAGAGTAAATATTATAATGATGATAATAGTAATAATAATAATAATAACATTAATTGTTATAATAAATTATTTTCTCTTTTGTTATTGTTGTTGTTGCTATTATTGTTATTGTTATTAATGTGCATAGATTCACATGTATAAAGTTGTTGTACACATATTTACAATAATTAATAAAGAAAAATTAAAATAGCAAAAAGGTGATAAAAACAGAAAATCAATTTGTAAACATCAAAAAAAAAGAAAATAATCAAATAAAAAATAAGCATAGAAAACAAAAAAAAAAAGTGGAAGAATTAAAATTTTAAATGAAATCATTTTTTTTTTTTTTTTGAAAATATTTTCGCTTAATTATAAATCAGTCATAAAGTTACACTCATATAGAATTAACCATTTTGAAATAATTCTGTCTTCATTTTCTTATTAAAACATTTCTAAAAACGATATTTCGAAATAATATTTAGCTTTTAGCTTTCGAAATGATTTCAAATCTGAAATAAAATTAATGACAAATGGCACATACATATTTCATTAATTTTCTTTGCTATAATTAGTTGTACATGCACAATATGCTTCCTTTTTTTTTCCTTTTCTTTTTTAAATTTCTAATTCATTCATCATTT